GGACCCAAGGAAACACACACCTAGGCACATCATTAAAGATTAAAGATAATCTCACCCAAGATTAGAGATAAGGAGAGAATCTTAAAAGCAGCAACAGAAAAGGAAAGAGCTACCTACAAAGAAGTTCCCATAAGACTGTCAGCTAGTTTCTCAAAAGAAACCTTACAGGCAAGAAGGGGCTGGAAAGTATTCGAAGTCATGGAAGGCAAGGACCTACCTCCCAGATTAAGATTACTCCATCCAGCAAAGCTATCATTTAGAATGGAAGGGCAGGTAAAGTGCTTCCCAGATAAGGTCAACTTAAAGGAGTCCACCATCACCAAGCCCTTATTATATGAAATGTTAAAGGGACTTATCTAAGAAATAGAAGGTCAAAATCTGTGAATAGTAAAATGACAAAAAAACTCACAACTATCAACAATTTAACCTAAAAAAAAAAACTAAGCAGACAACTAGAACAGTAACAGAATCACAGAAATGGAGATCACATGGAGGTTATCAGTGGGGAGGGGGAGGGGAAGAATGGGGGGAAGGTAGAAGGAATAAGAAGTATAATTAGTTGGCATAAAATATAGACAGGGGGAGGGTAAGAATAGTATGGGAAATAGAGAAGCCAAAGAACTTGTATGTACAACAAGGGCCATGGAATGCTGGAGGGTAGTGGGGTGCAGGGCAGAGAGGGGAGAAAGAGGAGAAAGAAATTGGGACAACTGTAACAGCATAATCAGTAAAACATAGTTTAAAATGTTAAAAAAAAAGGGAAAGAAAAAAATCCATGTGTCAGTGGACCTGCATGGTCAAACCCATTTGCACAAGGGTCAGCTGTATACCTTTCTCCTATGAATCTGTCCTAAGTGAATTTAGTTCTCAGATGCATCAGAAGACACTAAGAAACAGAGGTCAAGTTTTGCCTCCCTATGGTGCAAAGGTCTCCATTTGCATCTCGAAAGCCTGAGAGACACTGCTTTTACCCTCATTGTCTAGGACTAGGCAATGAGACTGAGACCCAGAGAAAACAAGGACTTCTCAAGGTCATGCAGCCATTAAGCGGCAGAGCTGAGATTGCAACCTAACTGTGACTCCCAAATCTTCCAACTGCCATGCGCAGGAGTGAGTCACTGATGGCTTCAAAGAAAAGCCCCTCGGACTGGCCCACAAATGAGCAGCACAAGTTTATCAGACCCAAGAGCAGGGGCGGAGAGAATGTTGAGGATGTCAGAGTTGTAAGATGGGGCTGAAACCCAGGCTTCAAGAAAGAGACAGGTGAGGGAAGAGGCTGCTGCAGGCCCTCAATACCAGGCCTGGTAACCTGAAACTTATCCTGCAGGTAGGAGCCTCCTGGGTTGTCCTCAGCGGGGGTGACAGGGTAGGACTGGGTGTTTCAGACAATGTGGGACAGCATGGAGGCTCGATGGGAACAGCAGTCCTCAGCGTCCCCATGCTTCAGAGTCACATGGGCTGCTTGTAAGACACCTGGACCACCACCCCCGCAGAGTGGGATTCAGCGAGTCTGGAGAGAGGCCCAGCGATCTGCATTTCAACAAGTTTTCCAAGTGATTCTGATTCAGGTGGTCACTTAAAGAAACACCAGGAAAGAAAATAATTTCTCAGTGGCTGCCAGAGATAAATGATGAGTCCTAAACTCCAGTGGTGGCAAAGAAAATGAATGGACAGAGCCTGCCAACGGTGGCAGGATGATGTTTTCCTGATGTTCTCCTTTGTTCTTTTTTCTTCTGGTAACTCACCTCCCTCCCCCTTTCAAGTAGCTAGTTCATTCTATGCTCACTGCCCCTCATGGTGGGAGGTGACAGGGCAGACAGCAAAATAAGGAGTCATTCTGGGTTGATGCGTTGGACTTGTTTCACACAACACAGGAATCGGGGAGGTCGCAGATGAATTCGGACTGGCCATGATTTCGTAACTGTGGAAGCCGAGGGATGGCTGCCAGGGGATGCATTATGGAATTCTACCCACATTGGTCTATTTTCAGAAGTTTTATTAAGAAAATATGTTTTAAGTATTTCTGTATTTTGTTTCAAAAAGACTTAGGGAAAAGGAGAGAAATCTCAGACATAGATGCAAGAAACTTCACAAGCAAGAGGATGGGGAGAGCTGGTCCAGGATTCAGCAAGGCGGGAGAAAGTAGCTCACCTGATCGGCGGATTTGGGGGAGCATGGTACATGCTCTGCTCAGCTCTGGCTTTCTTCCTCCTAGAATTTGCCCTCCTGCAAGGGGTACATTCACTGCCCCTGCAAGGGGACCAACCCAGTGGAGCTGCCACGACAGGGGTACAGGGGAATCTGCCGAACTCGAGGGCTCAGTTATCCATAAGCCCACACTGAGCAAGGGCTTGGAGGTGGCCTTGTCAGTGATAAGGCAATAATCTGGCCTTCACCTGCCTCCCCTATGCTCCATTTTCCAGCATGTTCAGAACCTTAGTCAGGAAGACAGCGCCACCTATTGGAGGTCCTCCAGAAACCCCAAAACATGGGCTTCAGGAGGTCTAGTGGAAAGGAAGAGGAGGAGGATGGAGGGAAGTGATAGGAACAGAGAGGCTCTGAGGAAGGAGCAAAGAATCCAGGAGGGAGGGGAATGCTGCCCTAGGGAGCAGTAAAACCTGGTGTGGAGATGTCTCTGAGACTCGTCTGGGCACAAGGACCTTAAGAAATGGCAGAAAGATCCCCACAGGCCAGGGTAGCCTGAGGTGGGAAGAGAGCTGCCGTCTCCAGCAGAGAGTGAGTGAGGACAGCCAGGTCTCTCCAGCAACTGGTGGGGACCAACGGCATCTCCATGAGCGCCTGTGTGCACAGATGACCTTAGGAACGCTATCCTCCAACACATGCACACTCACACACTCACACCAAAGTACTACATGAAGCTCTGGGCCTTAACTATAACCCCAGGGAGGGGGTAAAACCCTCAATTAGTAGAGATTAGGTTTCTGCCACTCCAGCTGAATGGGAGCTCAAAATAGAAATTAAGTTGAGTTACAGAAAGCTTTAATTATATTCCTTACACAGGTGAATTTATGAACAGAGACTCCTTGCTGGAGTAAATATTTTGAAGGCAGAATCACAAGACTTGGAGGTCACGTGCGTGTGGGGGTGAGGAGGAGCAGGAAGTCTCTCCTCCCTTTGAGAGATTTGTTTCCCACCCTCCCCAGCCAAGTTCAAATTCTTTAACACTGCCAAGTTTTCACCCCTTCTCCTGATGGTCTTCCCTCATGGCCCTGTGACATGGGTTCAGTTGTTCTTGCCCAGTTACTTAACCATTAGGGGAAGCCCTGGCTGGTGTGGTTCAGTGGATTGAGTGCTGGTCTGTGAACTAAAGGGTTGCTGGTTCAATTCCCAGTCAGAGCTCATGCCTGGGTTACAGGCAGGTCCTCAGTAGGGGGTGCAAGAAAGGCAACTACACACTGATGTTTCTCTCTTTCTCCTTCCCTTCCCCTTTCTAAATAAAATAAATAAAATCTTTTTAAATAATAATAACAACTAGGAGCAATTACCAGTCACTCTAGGAAAGCAATTTACTTTACTAGAATTTTCTATTTGCATCCTAGAAAACAGCTGTTAAATTTGCACAGTTCAGAGTACTATACAATGGTTAGGGTAACAACTAGGTCCATAGGGCCTGGAGAGGTCAAGGCCAAGCCCAACACGCTTCATCCACAGAGTGCCTCACGTGGACCTCCCTGTTTCATTCCTCCCCATACCCAGGCCCCATTGCCCTCACGGGTGGCCCAACTCTCGCCCTGGGAGTTAGGATCTTTCACACTGGACCCCAGGTCTCCTCCTCTCCAGCATCATTTCATGTCCTCTAAACTCCCCTCTCCCCAGGAGGTGGGGAAAGTCTGCCTCATGCCCTCCTGCCCGAAGGTGCAAGGCCATTCTCAAGTTTAGAGAGGGTGGAAGATTGAGAGGGGGACAGAAGTGGTTGCCTCTCTCAGAAAGTGTTAAGAAAGTCCTTAGTTAGGCTGAGGCCCAACTTCAGGACTCAAAGAACCCTGGATCTGCCTTCCTCTGGTGGAACCAATTCTTCCCAGAGGCTGGCCTAGACAAGGGTGGTGCGCTGGGAGGGGCTCGCCCACTGAATGGGAGCTGTCTGCAGCTCACCTGTGTGTGTGGCCCATAGGTGCCCACATCACCCGTGTGAATGGGAAACTATGCTAAAACGGTTATTTAGCTCACATTGCCCTTATAATTTCCCCTTTCTTCCTCTCCACTCAAACAACTGCAGGCATAGCTCGAAGCTGGATAGTACTGTGGGTTTGGTTCCAGACCCCTGAAATAAAGCAAATCATCTTTCTGCTGGCGGTGGGTGCTGTCTGCAGTTTGTAAACCCCAACACCTGTGAGGCCCAAGACCATCAAGCACAGTAAAACTAGGGGTACTTGTAGTTAGTTGTGTACCTCTGGCCTTGGGGTAGCAGTGGAACACGAATCACAGGGTAGAAAGTAGAAGAACTGGCAAGCCACCATGGATTTTGTGTTCCAAGCCCAGCCCTCACAGACCTGAGAGTTAAGGCCAGTGGCCTTCAAATGCTTGACTGCATGCCCTGTAAAATCAATTTAAAAAACTACATGCCCTCTTATGCAGCTACATAAATTAGTGCCCAGAGATCGGGGAAGAGGGCACACATGCACAGAGAAAGGGCCATTAAAAAAAAAACTGTAGCGCCCAGTGCAAAATGGAAGTGTAGGCCCCTTGCTCGAACATGACTAAGAACTTCAAGAAGGCAGCAGCCGCCTTCATGCCAAGCTCAGAGCCCTTCTGAGCACAGGGCCATGTGGCTGTGCAGGCTGCAGGCACCTGCAGAAGCCAGCCCTGCTCCCACACACTTTTAAGTTAACATGTAAAAATATGTGAATTCGAACAGTTGCAAAAGATGCAATTTCAATATATTGTACATTGTATTCTTGCTTTAAAAATGTTTTTCCAGTTCTCAGAACAACATACTGAGCTAATGCAACGTGTGAGAAGTGTCTACCATGCCTGCTCACCTTGCCATGCCTCTCCCATGGGAAAACAAGCCGAGGTGCTTCCACACAATGGCGTCCTACTCAGCAGTGACAGCAGCGGACATACACAGGACGTGGATGAATCTCAAAATACATACGCTGAGGGAAAGAAGTCCAGCCAAACAGAGTACATACTGTACGGAAATGCAAATATTCACAGAGACAGACAGCAGGTCAGTGGTTGCCTGGGGAGAGGGGAAGGAGTGGGAGGGAAGGATTAGAGTCAAGTAGAGCCACATGGCTGAATTCTCACCAACAGGATGGGAGTGTAAACGATGTACAGTCATTTCTGGGTATTGCTCATAAAAACACCCCACGCAACCCTCAGTCTGTCTTCTGTCCCATCCTCCAGCAGAACAGAGAGAACCTAGATGAGAGAAGAGCCACAGGACAGAAGGGACTGGGTCCCTGGGTGACGGCATGCAGCACAGCCCCCTCCAACTGACATTGGATTGTGACATGAACAAGGACGGGACTATCATGGTATTGAACCTGACGTGTTGGGACGGTTTGTTACCGCAGTTGGTCAACCCTGACTAATACACAGTCTGAAGTAATGTCCCTGCCAGAGAGAGCTGGCTGGTCTCCTCAAAGTCAGGTTTTGCTTGGGGCTCAGGCTGGTTCCCAGAGGCTCAAAAGCTCGACTCAGCTCTGACAGTGGAGAGGCCAGCTGAGGGAGAAGGGAGCAGTCTGTTCTGCTGGGCTCGCGCTCTCCTAAACCGTGGAGCAAGCCCTGAAGTGTCTGGGGAAGGAGACCAAGAGCCACAGGAGCCGTGGTGCCTGGCAGACTTTAAGAGGTTCCTCTGAATAAGGCCCACTCTGAAGCCATTCTGGTCAGGCTAGTCACATTCGTCTTCCTCAAAACTTCCTGTCACTAAGCCTTCAGTCTATATCCTTCAAGTCTCTGACCAACAGACTAATTCGTTATCCCACACCCAAGAATTGGTGTGTCCTTATTTCAGAGCCTCTGGGTGCAGGTCCCTTTGCTAGGCCCCTCTGGCGATCTCAGAGGAAGGCTGGGACATCCCAGCAATCCACCTCCAGTCGGAGCCACCTGCAAACTGGGTTTTGGATTTTTCTTCCTGTATCAACTCATCATAAACAACTCTCCACGAGACCGTGAACATAAGCACATTACAAGGGAGAAATGTAAACCACTTGCTCAGGCAACCGACTTCACCTGCAGGGCTTGCTTGGACCCAGGCCACATATGTCATTTCCCTTTGATGATGGAGTGCTGCGGGCCACCCCTGACAGTGTGGCCAGGCCGATCAGGTAACACGGGGGCTCAGATCGCAGGGTCATCTGGTGTGCCACGGCCAGCGCGCCATGGTCAGGCATCTGGTTTCACCAGACACCTGGAGCAAGCCAGGAGCTGTTTCTCAAGAGGAGAATAGCAATTTGTGGAAGGAGATCATAACTTTGTTTCAAAAATCCAATGTCTGGGTATAAAAGCCAAAGGCAGAACTACCTTATTTTTCGGATAATAAGACACACACCCCAAATTTGGGAGGAAATGGGGGTGTGTCTTATAGTCTGAATGTAGCTTACCTGGCTCACTATTGGGGGGCAGCCTATGTTATCTATGTTATTAAATATTTTACCACATTTCTTGCTTCCAAATTGTTTTTCCTGTTTTCCTCCTATAAAACCTAGGTGTGTCTTACAGTCTGAAAAATCCGATACTTATTCTGATCCAGCTCAATCCAGCGAGAAAACCACCCCTCCTTGTACAGGCCCCCCTAAAGTTGACAGCCTTCAAGTGACCCAGTAACGGGGGGTGAAAATAATGGACCTTAATATGGTACATTTCACCACCCAAGTCTAAAAGAAGCCCACCAAGTTTTGTATTTCTTTCTTAGTAGTAGGAAATGTGGTGTGTGCAGCAGCTGGTCCTTCATTCTGCAGGGAATCACCCAACGAACCCCAGACCCCTAGAAAGTTCACTGAATAAATGAGCCCCTGTGTATGTGGAGCTATATTATCTGCTCTCTGGCACATACAGCAAGCTTGCCAAGTCACCCAAGGGATCTGCTACTTCTTGTTCTCAAGGTCCATCAGGATGGTGTCAACAGTGTCACAGTAGATTAGCCTGACATTCACTGCAATGGTGATAGGGCTAAATAAATAAATAAATAAATAAATTTTAAAAAATCCTGTAAATGAAGTCTGTCCAGAGAGTGACATACTCCTGAACCAAGACAGTAAAGGTTATTGCTGCCCCTGCCAGAGAACACGAACTACTGCTGAGGTCTGGTACAAAAAAAAAAACCTGGACTAACCCTACACTGTCTGTCAGAAGCCAACAACTGTGCTGACAGCTCCCAGGACGACCACCCTGTGCAAGGGCCTGCAAGGGTCTCCCACCGCTCTGTCACTGTTCGAGGCCATCTATCTTCTTTCGTCGGTATGGGAATGAATAAAGAAAACGTGGTATGTACATATGCATTTATACATAAAGGAATACATATAAAGTATATTTATAAATACTAGAAATATATAAAAACACATAAAAGAGTAACATTCAGCCTTTAAAAAGGAGGCAATCCTGCAGTTTGCCACAACGTGGATGAAACTGGAGGACATTCTGTGACGTGAAATAAGCCAGTCACAAAAAGACAAATATCACATGATCTCACTTATATGTAGAATTTAAAAAAAAAAAAAAAGCTAAACTCCCAGTAACAGAGATTAGAACAGTGGTTACCAGAGACTAAACTGTGGAGAAAATGAGAAGACTCCGTAAAAAGTAGAATGGTGGTTGACTGACATGGGCTTGGGAAAAGCAGAAAATGGGGAGTTATTAACGAGTACAGAATGTCAGTTTTCCAAGAGGAAGAGTTCTGGAGATGTATGGTGGTGATGGTTGCACGGATTTAATATCACCCAACTGTATACTAAAAACGGTTACGATAGTAAGTTTTGTTCTGCGTATTTTACAACCAAATTAAGTACATGTAAAAAATACCAACTATATATAGTGCAAACTACCCTCTTTCAAGTCTTCTATTGCCACACTAATCCCTGTGCTGAGATGAAGTATTAATGTTTACATATGTTCTTGGCAGCCAAGGAGAGCTCCAGGGCCTTCCATTAGCCTTTCCTCTCAAAATTGCCCTTGCTCAAGTTGTTTTAGGCCAATGTCAAGATTCTGCCCCTGTTGATGACGTCAGGGGCAACTCGACACTACCCGTCAAATGGTTTCCTGCTAGCACTGGCCGTGGCTTGAGACAGACTGCATTCAAAACCTTTTAAAATTGTGTACCGTGCGCATGCGTTCTACAGTCAAAAAGGAAAAGGGGAGAAATCTCACTTTTAACAGTTAAATACAAAATTATTCATTTTTTCCATGTTCCATTGTGTACTACTCAGAAGTCCACGTGCTCCAATTATCCGCTCTTACCACACTGGTTGTAGTTAAGTGTCCACTTTCCTCAAGAGAGCTGGAGAGGACACAGGGCTGAGTCCCGTGTCCCAAGCACCGAAAACGGGACTCCCGGTGGGCCGTATATTGCAAATAAAAGCCTGGGCGCAAACTTCGTCCCTTTCAGCTCAGGCTGTACACGGGCCCGTCAGGCTGGATGATGCTGAGCAACCATTTTGCCTTTTGTAGCCTCGATTTTCTCCACCACAAAATGGGAACGATCGTATTGATACATGCCATTCCGTGTGAGCGCGAGAAGTCAGGCGATGGGTGTCAAAGTACCGTGGCACTACAGAGAATAACTCATTCACTCATCCATTTAAGTGATTAAGCAACCAGGGCTGTGCAGCGCAGTTACTACAGCGGACACTCTCTCCCTGCGGGACCTGGAGGGCACCTCCTCCCCACGTTCTTTCTCCCACGGACTCCGGGTGGTGACCTTATTCAAAATGGCGCAGGCGGCCTCGGGGGCTAGTGCGACGGCGCGGACTCCGCTTGCCCTATGACCTGCTGGCAGCGGTGGAGGGGGAGCCGGGCGCCGCCATATTGGCTGTTGTCCTGAGAGGGGAGCGGCGGCGGCGGCGGCGGCGGCGGCGGCGGCGGCGGCGGCGGCGGCGGCGGCGCAAGCGGAGCAAAGGAGAGGCGCGAGCGGCAGCATGACTCGGAGGCGGAGCAGGCCAAGCGGCGGCGTGGGCCGGCGCGAGCGGGCTCGGGCCGCGGGGCCGCAGAAGCCCCAGGCTCCGAAGCCCTCGCCGCTGCCGAGCTTGGAAGCCGGAGCGGGTGCAGGGCCCCCCGAGGCGCCGGAGGAGCCCGACTGCGACGGCATCAGGGAGGAGGACGAACCCAAGCTGGCGTCTGGCCTGCAGGTAGGAGCGAGCTAGGCGAGTTCGGCTGTTGCGGCGCTTTCACCTCGCCGGAGCGGAGCCGGGATGGGTTTGGGGATGGACCATCTTACCCCTTAGGGCCAGGGCTGAGGCTTTCTCCGCCGAGGCAGGATTGGAGGCTGGGCCCCTCTCTCCGAAGCCCAGGTGCGGCCCGTCGGGTTCTCCTGAGACCAGGCTGCCTGTCCCTCCCGACGCCTCCCGGCTGGAGCAGAAGCTAAAGGTTCTGCTGGTACAGCCACCCTGGGACCGGGCTGTGATCCTGCCGCCACCGCTCAGCCCCCTGCCCTTCGGTTGCCCGGGCCCACTTGATTCCCCACCCACCCACGGGCCAGGTCGGGGCGCCGGGGCCTGGAAAGCCGCAGCCTCTGCCCCTGGGAGCGGCTCCACCCCTTCCCGTCGCTGCCTGCAGCCACTGCCCCCTCAACAGCTGTGCCCCCAGCTGTGTCTCCTGGGGCCTCCCTCCTGTCCCTGCCCAGCGGAGCTGGTGGAGCAGACAGCCAGGCTGTCCAGAAGACTGTGCAGTGAGGCCCCTGCACTGAGGTGGAAGTCCAGCAGAGCCCACCCTTTCTGCCCTCCATACCCCTGACCCACAAGCCGCCTGCCCTGACCCTCCCATCTCTGGGTTCGGTGCATACTGAGAGAGAGCAGTAATAAGAGGACTCGCCAAAGCTTCCAGCTTGCCGCCTGGGAGAAGGTCACTTTCTTTTGAGCAGAGATGTTGGAAGGTACCCTGCCAGTGTGCACTGAGAGCCCGGAGTGGCGTGAGCCACAGTTGCTCTGGGAGGGTTGTGGCACCTGGGGATGGGTGGCTCACCCGAAGCTTGCTTTGACAAAAGAGTTTTGAGTTGGTCTTTTGGCTGAGCCTGCCAGGGAAGGCAGGCTCCTGCAGGAGTGTTGGAGGGTCGGATGCTGTTCCGGATGAAGCTGAGGCGTGGCAGAAGATGCGTTTGGCTCTGCAGACACTGCATCGGGCAGCAGGGGACTCTGGGAGGCTGGTGCAGCCAGAAGGCATGGCTCTTGACAGCCTTCTAGTAGAATCTCTGGAATTGTGCATGTGAGTGGGGATGCCATTCGGGGTGCCATTCCCAGAAAGCCTCCCCTCACCTACCCAGTTGTGGAAGGTGCTCCTTCTGTGCCCACAGCCCCCTGTGCTGCCCCCCTGTGCTCCCCCTCTGGTATCACTCCCCATGCTGTGATGAAACGTTGTGCTGATGGGCTGTTCCCACACTGGACTGTGACCTCAGGGGCACATTCTGTGTCATCCACCTGGTCCTCCACACCTAGCCCAGGGCCTTGCTGACACAGACTAGAAGGAACTAGGTGAATGAGAGAGAGAATGAATCTGTGAAGAACACGTGTTTGTTGTAACCCAGTTTTGATGCTGGTCTCTTTTGTGTCTCAGATCACAATAAGATTTTTAATTATTCATTCATTAATGTCACTCCTTACTGAGCATTAATAGCTCCACCTTCACCTCCATCTCCTACCTTGGGCTAAGACTGGTTCCAAAGGATGAGGCTCCCCAGGCTGGACCCCACCCTCATCTGGTTTCACTTCTGACCCTGAAGCTGCTTCCCCTTGTAGCATTTTCTTTCCCTTCTGGGGGTGGGAGGTGAGGGGCCTAGGTGTGCTGTTATCCAGAAGGGGAATGGGGGCAGGGAGAGCCAGGGAGCTGTTGTCTTCTCCCCTCCTCATTTACACCGTGCAGTACTTCAGAGTCCCCTGCCACTTGGTCAGCCTAAGACATCAAGGCCAGCAAGTTAGGATGGCGGCTTAATCATTGTTTTTATTTAGGATGCATCTTTCCTGAGAGCTGTAACCTTCACTAACGTGGTACATTCCTACCGTGTTCTTACCTACTCTACTGCTTGACCAGCCATTTCATTCATTTATTTATGCCAGGCCCTTTACATACTTTATGTCTAATCTTCCCATTGCCCCTGTATTCCCAGCATTTAGCACAGATATGATGTGTTAACTATTGGTGTAATTATGTTCTGCTTTTACTGCATAAACTCTGAGTGTGCAGGGAGCACGTCAGTCACCATTATGTCCCATGCTGGGAGATTAGCAGACATTAATGAGCTGAAGGACACAAATGCTATTACCCCATTTTTCAGATGAAGAAACAGAATCTCAGAACAGCTAAAACATTTGCCCAAATAACTCCCACTGTAGGTCTCAGTGCGCCCCGCCCCCCCTCCTCAAAGGACGCGCTGACAGCTGGACACCAGAAGCAGGTTTTTGTGCCCTGGTGAAAAGTGCCTGCCGAAAGGGTCAGTCATCACCCTGCCCGCAGGCAAGGTCCTCCTGCTCTCGCTGCCATTTGCAACCCATAGTGTGTACACACAGTGGGCGAGTAAAGTGAAACTCAGTGCCTGATGCCAAGCTGAGTCCTGAGATGGGAAACCGGACCATTTCCAGTCCACAGACAGGTTCTAATGTCCCGAGTCACACATCGTTTTGTTTCTAGTTTTGTTTTGATTTGAACCAATATTTTAAGAACTGAAACGTTTTCCGCAAAACTGGATTTGTGCCATCTCTTAAAACTCTAAAAATCTGCTACTGGACCCACATTTCCACAAGGCCGTAATCTGTGGTGTCTGCCCCCTCTAGCATGTGAAGGATGCATGATTTGTACCAGGCCCTGGGCTAGCTGGGGATACAGCATTGAGCTGGACAGGGTGCCTATCCACAAGGGGCTCAGGGTCTAGAGGACACGTGTGTAGTGATTGCAATTGGGCCAAAAGAGCTTCGCTTCCTCTGAGTTAAGGTTCATAGGGCACTCACTTTGGTTTCATCAAATCCCCTTCGTTCATTTGCATAACATGTACACATTTAAATGCAGGACTTTGAGCTTAATTGTGTTCTCAAAAGTCTACTTCCAATTGTTTCACTAAACTAGATTGATCTATTCACTAAGAACCCAAATCCTCCTTTATTTCACAAGAAGACAAACCGTTACTATCCTATTAGCAAAGGAAAAATGTGTACATCAGTTGAAGTAGGTGTAAGAAATAGTGTTCAGTCAGGCTCCTTCCAGATCTGCGACTGGACTCATTCCACCCTTCTCTGCGCTTCATCAGCAACTTCGCAAGAGAGTGTGGAGCACCTCGTACATCGAGGCTCACACAGGAACAGGAGGCAGAGGCAGGGTCGGCTGGAGCAGTGCCAGGTGGCCATCTGAAGTCAGTGTTCTCACCTGTGCTTTGCTGACTGTCTTTAGGTTTCTCTCGTAACCCAGGTGTGCAAGCTCGTAAACCCCCAGGAGACTTGCTGGACCGTACGCCAGCGGTTGGTGGGGGCTGGGCTCATGCTGTGCTCCCCATCTCTGATCTCCCTGTAGCATTCCCTGGGACTGTGCCCAGCCTCACTTAAAGGGGCTCTGGAGACACGGTTCCCCCACTGCTCGGAGTTCAGCCTGCTCCCTCAGGGGACGAGAGCAGATGATCAGTCAGGGTTTTTGTTACAACCTTCCCGTTGTGTTTAATACACTCAGCAAGCATTGTGAGTGTATTAAGACCTTTCTGTGCCAGGGTCTTTATTTGGGACTCACAGATAACCAAGGGCCTCCCCCTTAAAATCATAGCCCTCCGGCCCAGGCACTTTCTTCGAAAGTGAAATGAATGATGCTGAGGGGCTATCCCCGCTGCCTCTGGCTCCTCTTTGTAAGCCAGTAGAGATTCACTATGTAGAAATGCCAGAAGGCCTTTGAAGATAAAGACTTACCTGCCAAGACTTTTAAAATTTTAATTTCTTTGAAACATCCCAGAGCCATAAGCTCAGTATCTGATATTAGATGGATTTTTACGACCCTAACACCTTTGCTTACTGAACCTAGAACTTGTGGGAACAAGGATTATGCTTTAATTCATTTCTGGAGTATTTATTTTGCATGGTTCTTATGTGCTCCAAAAATGGCTGTTAAACTAAATTATAGTAAAAGAAGTTAGGTTTCTACCACTTTGTTCTTAGCTGCCCCCACTGCTGGGCCAGGCTGGTGTTCACGGAGGCCCAGTGAGCACACCGTGCCCAGTCCTCCTCGTGCCTGACCTGGGCGTTCATTTATTCCACAGACACCAGTGGACACCTGGTCCATGACTGTGCAAGCTGAGGGTGCAGAAGGGAATCGGGCGTGGTCCCCGCCCCCAGGGGCTCGTGGCCCAGAGAACATGTGCAGTAAGGCTAGAGGAGCACCGCTTCCTCTGAGTTGAGGTTCAAATCCTAGATCCTAGTACCAGTCTTTGGAAGTGTTCTGGCCTCTTGGTGTGTTTCCTTGTGTATAAAATGGCGGTGATGTCAGGCTCACGTTAGGGTCCAGCCAGTGCTGCATGTCAAGCACAGAGCACAAGTGGTAGCTGCGATGATTACAGATGCTGGGTGCTGAGGATGCACAGACTGAGAGCCTAAGAAGGCTTTTCAGAGTGGCTTTGAGGTTGAGTAGAAGTTATTCCAGAAGACAAGGTAGAAGTGTTTAAACCATGGAAGCAGCATAGAGACCCAGAGGCAAGAAGCATCCAACTCCTGGGAGAATGGCGAGGAGGTTAGCAGGGTTCTTGAAAACCCAAAGCAAGAAGTTGGGGCTTTATCCTGTGGGCAGCGACGAGTCAGTGAAAGGTTTTAGGTAGGAAAATGGGTGTGCTGTGCTTCAGTACATTCTCTGATGCCATAGGAGGGGCCAGTAGTTCCCAGTGGGGAAGGCAGCTGTGATTGCTTGTTTGCCCCACTCAGCCCAGCCCAGCCCAGCCCTGCCCAGCCCAGCTAATCGTCAGGTCCCCTGTGCTTTCCTGGACCCTGTCCCGGGCCGACAGAATTGGAATCTGTTGCTGTTAAACTGTCCAGGTGACTCTGTGGTTGGTTGTGGACACTGCTGCAGTGAGGGTGCCATGGGGATCTTCGAGGAGGCCTAAGACATCTTCACAGAATGGGGCATTTCCGGGGGGAGCTTTCCCATGAACAGAATAGAAACGGCCTTAGTTTTAAAGAAACAAAACACAAACTTTTCCCAGTTTTTCAGTAATAGCCTTATTAATGATGCTCTGTAGCTGCTAATCTTCCTTTATGTGTTGGAACATTTGCCTGTGCCTGCTTCCCACTGCCACCTCTGCTGAACGACTGGAACGCACTGAGCCACGGGATGCAGCCTTGCCCATGAAAAGCTCCCCGTGTTGTGGAGAAGGTAGATTTCAACGACTGGGATACCTGCAATAAACTCTGTTCGAGATACGTGTAAAAAAAGTGTTAGGACATTCCAGAGCAAAGCACAGTTCACCCTGCCTGTGATCTTAGGAGGATGTGACACCTAGACTGGCCCTAAAAAGCAAGAGGCAGAGGGAAGGCGTGAGTGAATGCTTTGGGCATTCGGGGAAGGCGCGGGTGATGGTTCTTCGAGGCAGGTGTGCTGAGCAGAAGACTGTGCTTGTGTCCCGAGAAGGGCCCTGTGTGTGCCCCCAGCGGTTCTGTGCCCATGGTGTCGTCCCACAGGCCCTTGCTGCTCACAGATCTCAGATCCCAGCGCTCTCTGTGGTTCCCCTCCATTCCGAGATGAATGGATAGAGGGGAACTAAGGCAGAAAAACAGGTCTGAGACACTGAACGTTCTTAGTAGGAAATTGTAGCTAAAGAGCGTAGACTGGGGGGTTCAAGGTAGCCTTGAAGATCGCTTGTCTAGTCCTCTGTCCTATGCTTCAAGTAATAACTCTGGGTTGGGCAAGTCTCGCTTAGTAAGTCTCCCTGTCGTTTCTTCCAGGACAGAAGAGGAAAGAAACTAACGGGTATTGAGCACCTACTGAGTGCCAGGCCCAGGCCAGGTACTTTGCATAATTTATTTCCTTGTGTCCTCACAACTCTGTGATGTATGCTTTTATTCTAATTTCATAAATAAGGAAATTGAGGCTTGAAGAAATTGAGTAATAACCCAATATCATACTGAAAATGACAGAACTGGGATTTGAACTTAACAACCATCTGTCTTAAGTCATACTTTTCCACCCATGAGAGATTTGTGCTGGGTTTAGAGTAGTAGGTAATACAGTTCCAGGTCAGTGAGCCGCTGCTCCGGCTCTCCTGTGGCTGACTGCACCCAGGAGGCAGGTTGGACAGGTGAGCTGCCCTTGGCGGGGTGGAAGGCCCCTGAGGTCAGAGAGACCACTGCTCTCTCCCTGACTCGGCTGGTACTATAAGAGCTGACTCTCCACAAACTGGCTTTGTGGTATAAAACAGCTGTCCTGCCTCATGGGGGACCCTGAGCTAATAGCCTGGGTGGGAGTTTGGGTGAGCTCCAGGGCACTGAGGTACGATTACATCCGCTCCTTAAGAATTCACTGCAGCTCTGACTGCCCGCATTAAGATGGTCTGAGTCTCGTGGCACTGAAGTGCTCTCGGCAGTGGCCTGGAGTGTCACAGCCGTGCCTTCAGCACAGCCTGCCCAATCAGGGCCACTGCAGCTGTGTTGTAGATTCTATTTGTGTGGACAGCTGAGATGTGAGCCAGATGGGCTTTAAGCATTTGTTCATTTATTCAATGAAGGCCTGCTCTGTGCCAGGTCCAAGACAAGCCTAGGTCCCTGGGCACACTTAAATGACCAGGGTGCAGTCCCTGCCACCAGAGAGCCCCCATTCAACCAGGGTCTAGGGACAGATGGAGAACATGTCATGGCACAAAGTAATAGATGCAGTACTAGCAGGATTAGTTCTGCTTAGTTTGGTTCCACAAAAGCTTCATTGACCTTTACCAGGATTTAGGGAACGAGCAGAAATTTGCCAAAGAGTAGTGATGAGGTGCTGAGTGTGAACAGAGCCTAAGGTTCTCAGAAGTGGAGCATGGAGAGGCCAGCTGGGGCCAAGTCATAAATGCCAGGGGTCAGAGAGAGCCCAACTGGAAAGGAGCCTGGAGACGAAAGCGAGACCAGGGTAGAAAAGAAGAGCTCAAGGAAGGCCATCAAACCGGACAGGTGCTCAAGAAGGCAAAGAGTAAGTTTTCATCAAGTAAGAATGTCCTGGTTGGCTGGTGGTTTCGTTTGTGAATTTTGTGTATTAATTTCCATTGTGTATTACTTTATGTTCCTGCCTGATTTTGCAAAACAGATGTGAGGCATCCTGGCGGTTTGGGAGCATTGACAACACAATACATGGAGCTGTCTGGTCCTTAAGGCAAGAACTCTGTGTGGTTTCATGTTTTCTAGTGCCTAGTACAGCGGTTGGCTCCAGGTTTAGGGCTCTTAGAACGAATGGGCAAGTGGAAGACTAAATGGTGACTGAGCTGATGAGTTTTTCCAGGCTAGGAGTTCATCATTTTCTCTGCTTCTGAAAGGGAATGTTAGCCACTGCTGATGTCCTCTATCTGTCTGCCTTGGTGACAAGAAGGCTGTTGGAGTTGGTGCCTTCAGAGTAAAGTGCTCTAATGGGTCATTTCAGAATAGAATTTGGAAGCTGTTGCAGAGCTGATGGTTAGATACAGCATGTGTCTTGGGGGAATCCTCTACAAACATGCATGAGCTCTTGGAAGTTTAAGAGATCCGTGAGAAGAAATGAAAGGAGGGTTAGGACTGGAAATCAGACCCAGCTTCAATTCAGAGTAGTCCTTGACAGCTGCCTAGTCTGTGACCAGGGTTATTCCCCATTAATTCCTAAATTGTGGACAGAAAGGCTGGGGTGGAAATGTGTTCACGTCTCCAAAGAGCTGTCCAGGTGTGCGACGAACCCTGTGTACTGCTACTGTGTTTTGTGCACCTGGCGGGTGGCAGGCACCGCTAAATGCTTCATATCAGCAGTTCTCAGAGTGCTCGGTCTGGGGCCTTTCACACGCCTAGTAATTACTGAGGGCCCGAAAGAGCTTTTGCTGGTTATATCTATTGATACCTACCAAACTAAGTGTTAAAGCTGAGAACGTTTAAAAATATTTAGTTGCTAATTCACTTGAGGATAACAAAATTAAAACTATCACGTTAACATAAATAATTTTTAATGAAAAATAACTACATTTTTGAAAAATAAGTGAGGAGACTTTCTCATTCGTTTCTTGCAGTCTTATTTTCATTGTCACTAATTTTTTTCTTTTTATTGAATTTTTTGGGAAAATGCTGGTTGACTAAATTATACAGGTTTCAGATGCACAGTTCTGTAACACATCATGCAAATTTTTAAATGTCTGGCTTGATACAAAAAAGCTGGATTCTTATATGCCTCTGTGTGCAAACTATTGCAATATGTTGTTTTGGTTGAAGTATATAAAAAAAAACTCCAGTCTCACATAGATACCTAGTTGGAAATGGGGGTAGTATTTTAATAGCCTTTCCAGATGATTGTTGCTATTCTTTGCAGTATGAAATCTGTGACCAAATATTCATTCACATTAAAATTGCTAGAGTTTTAGCCAATGTGTGGTTCTCTAACATGCTTTGATCCTTTGGAAAATAGGTTCACTGAGCTATGCAGATCTTCCAAATGTTTTCCCACTTCATTTTTATAATATTAAAAGGTAGACATTTGTTCATATGAGCAAATGAGCACCAGTTATGTCAGAAAAGTCTTTAAGCATTGGGAAATTGTCACAATCATAGCGATGGATACAAGTGTTCCAAAATTCTGAGTTTTGCATGAAAGGGTGAATTTTATCCACAAATACATTGTTTTCCTTGAAGTGACAACCTTTTTTTTTTTCTTCTTCTTTTTAATGTCTACCAGTACCCAACTCCAAATAACCAGTTTATCAGTTATTCTTTCATCTCTCTCTCTTTTTCCCAGGAAAAACTAGAATGCCTAGATGAAAAGTCTCAGGGCCTGGTCAGGTGAGGGAGCACAGACACTGGTTTTAATGGCTTCCCCTTCCCTGTTCTGGGAGTGGCCACAGTCTAGGGCTCCCCTGGTCCCTTTCCTGCCTGGGGACCTGCGTGCTGTAACACATCCTGTGTGAGTAACCCGACACTCTCCAGAGATTCTGCTTTTGCTCAGAGAGCAAAGCAGAATGATCTTGGAGCTTGTGTGAGCAGACCCCAGCTCAGGGGAACCCCTGGAGCCTTTCCTTCCCTCTCTTCCACCTGTGTCTGGTGGAGAGGCTCTGGAACTTAAACTGAGGTGAGAAGGAATAATTAATTAGTTGTTGCCCAGAACTGCTGGGTTTAAGGATCAGTGATTAAAAAAAAATGGTTGGATGTTTTATTCATTTCGTAAATATTTACTGATCATGTTTTGTGTGGAAATACTGTGCTAGGTGCTAAAAACACACCTAGAGAACAGCTAGTGAAAGCCCTGGTTGACTCTAGAGCATAAGGGCCCATGATGACCAGGAATTTGAAAAGTGGCTGGAGATCGCAGTCAGAGGGAATTAACTCTGAACCAAGAACTTTTCTCTGCCAAAGCAAAAATGTGAAGGAACAGTGGTAGTACTGACTGAATATAGCATCTCTACGACTTAGGATCCTTACCACCTTCTGGCAAATAGAGATGAAAATGTTGGGGAGAAAAGTCCCCAGTCCCTACCAGGCATTGTACCCAAATGCAGGCACCAAGGCTTAAGACAGCTTAAGGAGGGTTAAGACAGCTTTGGGGGTCACCAGAACTGTTTGGGCCTAGAAGGAACTCAAGTATACCAAACTCAGTTCAGTGGATAAGCTAATTTCTGGAGTAGACTTGTTAAGAACAGAATAGCCCAGGGGCCTAGATAATAGAATGGGTGTCTACTGCATGGATCCTTTGAGCTAAGCTTTTCATCTCTGATGTCACTTAACCCTCTGGGAAGAAGCCTTGTGCAATGCATTGTAGGTGGTATTATCACTGCCTCGGCCAGGAGTTAATTAGCTTCCCAGCCCTGTGTTTCTTCCTTTGACTGGAAAGACAGCCTGTCCCATAAATTCACTCCTGTTGATGGCTAATCTCATGTATTGTGTGTACCAGTGTGGCTCTAAGGAGAGTCACTTTATTTCCACGAACAGAGGCATCTCATTGTAATCTGCAAGGAATGTAGTCTTCCATTCTTCCACAGTTGAGATCAGAACCATTTGGGTGAATGTCCTGGGTAGGAAGATGGCCTTTCTCTGTGGGAAGCAACAGTTTCAAGTGGTGTCTCACCAAGCTGCCTGCCAGCAATGTTGCCATGGGAACACTTAACAGGTCCTATTTAACCATATGTGACCAGCTGAGCCTAGGTCCTGTGCTGCAGTGTGAGGGAGCCAGACAAGAATCAGACCTGGGGCTTGCCTTCCAGGAGCCCAGCCTGGTAGGAGGGATGGAAGGTGCAGATGGATGAGCTTGGTGGAAGGCACAGAGTGCTGCAGGGTGTGGGAGCGGAGGGGTAATAAGGGAGCTCTCGAGGAAAGCTTGGATGAGGTTGGGTTTCAGCCGGGCTTTTAAGCCCTTCCCAGCTCCTTATTGGTGAGTGTGGGGAGGAAGGGGATATTAAGCAGAGGGTCCCCTTTAGCAAAGAAAGGCCTGAGGTAGGCAAGTACAGAGAGAGTTTGGGGAACTTAATAACTTCGTGGAGTTGAAGGCAAAGATTAAGATGTCTAACAAGTCACCTTCAAGTCATCGCATGTGAGAGATTCTTACATTTTTGTAAGATACAATGACCTGTATTTTAAATGCTGTTAAATGACCTGCATTTAAATACAGTCCTGATTTTAAATACTGTTTTCTATCACTCCCATCCGGTTCATAATTAGTACCATATGTTGCCCTGACCAGCGTGGCTCAGTGGGTTGGGTGTCGTCCAGCAAAGTGAAAGGTCACCGGCTCGATTCCCAGTCAGGGAACATGCCTGGGTTGTAAGCCAGGTCCCCAGTTGGGGAGCATACGAGAGGCAACCAATCAATGTTTCTCTGTCACATTGATGGCTCTCTTTCTCCGCCCCCATACACGTCATTCATACATACATACATACAATTGTTGCATAATTAGTTCCATGTGTTGAGCAATCTATATTATGGTCCTGGCACTGGACTTCACAGCCAACCATCCAGGTTGGGACTTGACCCCATTTTACAGATGAGGTGACAATAAGTGTGACTTGCCCTGCATCATGTCGCTGGTCAGGGATCGGGGTCCAGGGCTAATGCCAAGGCCAGTGTGGTTTACACTGCACCCTCGTGTTCCCATGTGTGCTCTGGCACTGAATGCAGTCGCATCAGGCATACACCTAACTCACAAGAATTCCGTGTTTGCTTTTATAGGAAAACAGAAAAGAAAATCACATATTACCAGAGACTGTATATTATACACTTGAATTCTTGGTCACACCTAAAACACATATGCTGTACTTCACAGGCCATATAAAGAATTTAAAGAATAATTTTACTCATAGAAGATTTTTGTCTTATGTAGTAACTTTAGAATCTAACACCTAAATGAAGTGAAATTCTCTTGCAGTAAAGTTACACATCCAGTGTTTGCTTTAAGACTGGTCATCAGCATTATGGGGAAAGGGCCGTGGGTATTGCCTTGCCTCCCTGCCCTTCCCTGCCCCACCGTCACCAGGACACCTTATAGCTGTGGAAAGTTTCCTGGGCACACTTTGCGAAAAGGCCTCCTTTGCCGTAGCTTCTCTGACCATTCTTCCCCATCCACCTTCCACCCTTTCCATGGAATCTGGGAAGGTGTTTGTTTGTTTGTTTGTTTGTTTGTTTTTAAAATCTTTACCTGAGGACACGCTTATTGATTTTAGAGAGAGGGAAAGGAAGATAGAGAAACATGGATCAGTTGCCTGTCTTATGGCCCAGTGGGGGACCAAACTCACAACCAAGGCATGTGCCCTGACCGGGAAAGGAACCCACAACCTTTCAGTTTATGAGACGACCCCACAAGCAACTGAGCCACGCCAGCCAGGGCTGGAGGCTGTACCCCTTTGCTGTTGCCGCAGAGCAGCGGCCTTGCTCACTGCAATGTTCCTTTGGCAGAGCACATGTAGACTCCTAGTATCTTATGTGTGTTCCACATGTGAGCTTTCTGTCTTTCCTGGTGCACTTTTCCAAGGTCCACATACTTCCCCAAGTGTTTCCATACGTTCCTAGTACTACTGTTTGGTCCCTGCACCCCCGCCCCCCCCCCCAAATCAGGGACCAAGGTCAGTGTAATTGTAATGTGACAGATTTAAGAATATGCTGATGCGAACTTGCTGTGAAAAGAGGATTTTACTCAAAAAAGGTGATGGCAGTAATTTTATTGGTAGATGAGTGTGATACCCTTACTATTCTTCTGCTTAGCCCTCTGCAAACAACTGTTACCTAGTGATGGGTAAGTTTGGAAGGTATATCAGTTAACTATTTATTGCATGTAACAACACCCTCCCCCCCCAAAAAAAAAATTAGTGGCTTAAAACAACACCACTTATTACTGCTCATGAGTCTCCGGATTGACTGGGGGTTTCTGCGGATCGGGGCCAGCTTGGCAGGTCTCAGCTGTGCTTACTCATGTGTCTGATCTGCCGGCCAATTAGCCAGAAAGACTCAGTTTTCTTCACACGTTTCTCACGTCCCTCCAACAGCTAGCCTGGTCACGCTCGTGACGTGGCAGAGGTGCGAGAGCGAGCGAGCCCAGCTGTGCAAGGAAGCAGGTAGAAGTGCGTTCGCTTTCAAGCTTGTGCCCACAGCACGTTTGCTAACATCCTGTAGGCCGATGGAAGGGACGGGACCAAGCTACTGCGAGAGTGAGGGGGGATGACAAAGCTGTAGGATAAAGGGAAGCCATTAATTAGGGTCACTAAAACCTGTAAGTCTCCTAGTTAGTACCCCTCAGTGTGAAAGAAAACCTATAAACATATATATGTCAAGTTTCTCCTAAAAGGAAAAAAAGTCCAAGTAAGAGTTACTGTGTATTGGGAGTATGCTGTGGGCATGCACAGGGCTGGGCGCTTTCCCTGTTCACACACCAAGCTCACAGCTCTGCGAGGTGGGGAGGAGATTGGAGCTTGGGAGGTTAAATGACTTGCTCAAGGTCACCCAGCTAATAATGTGGTCAGGCAGGCGTTAGAGTGCATGTCGGTCTGATCCCAAAGCCCAGGTTCCTAAGATGTTATTTATTTTAACATCAGGGAAAGGAAGGGAGAGAGAGAGGGAGAGGAACATCAGTCAGCCTCATCTCACAGGCTCAAGGGCTGGTGCCCAGTCCCCTGAGCCACAGCAGCCAGGGTGCTCGGGTTCTTTTCACTGCGCCTTGCACTTCTCAGAAGCACCAGGTCCGCCTTACCTTCTCTCCAGCTCAGGTTCTCAGTCCAGCTGGTACCTAACCCTTTTTCCAAAACACTGCTCTGCTCCAGTTGGAATTGCATAGCTCTTCTGGAAGCCCACAGGTCCTCCCACGCTCCCACACTCCCATGGCCCGATGTGCTCTTCCCTTCCGGGTGGGGTGGTCTGTAGACTACACAGACAGCCCAGGCTTGTGGCCTCTCCTAGACATGCCAGAGAAGGAAGGGTCGTCTTTGCTTTAACCTTTAGGACTTGGGGACATAGGGGCATCAGATCATTTGAGCGTGAGTTCTGGAATCATCCTCACTGAGGTTTAAATCCTGGTTGAACCACTTCCTAGCTCTGTAACCTTGGGCAACTTACTTAACTTTTTAAAATCTGTTGGGAATAATAACTACTTTGCAGAGCTGTTGCAGGAGTTAAAATTATGCATATAAAGTGCCTAATCCAGTGCATGGCACATAATAAGTGACATTGTTATTGTTAATATTACTCCTAAGTAGAGCCTTTCCCCTCCTGGGAAACCCTATTTCTGTCTGTTGGACAGGTTCCCCACACCTCTAGCCAGTCTGTGCAGACTTGCTGCCTGCTGTGTCATCGGGAACGCAAAGGCTGGGAAGAAGGCCCTTCCCAAAATGGACTGGTGTTGCAGGGTGAGAAGCTGCCCCCCGACTTCATGCCAAAGCTCGTGAAGAATCTCCTAGGCGAGATGCCGCTATGGGTCTGCCAGAGTTGCCGAAGGAGCATGGAGGAAGATGAAAGGCAGACAGGTCCTGAGCACGCAGTGGCGGTAGGTAACCACTGCGAAGAGGTCCCTGAGTGCAGGAGGGCTGCCTGCACAAAGTCAGGCTGTTGAGCTGTTCCTTCCCTGTTCTGTGAGGTGGCTCTCCAGTGGCCCCTGTGCCCAGGTGCTGAGCTCACATGGGGGGGGAAGAAGAGAGGCTGCAGGCAGCCCCCGGTTCCTGAGGAGAGTCTGTGCACAGTGTGAGGGCTGGCCCATAGGATTTGGTAGATGGAGAGCCTGCCCCTTTCATCTGTCTTTTGGGCTACCTTTGGCTTTGTGGCAGCTTGAAAGCCAACCAGTATGGCACAGAGGGCAAAGGTCAGTTCAAGGGTCTGCAGTGTACCTTAGAAGGCCTCCACGATGCTGGGAGCCCTCTAAGTCTGCCATCTCCTGAATCACAGCAGACTGCCCTCCTTTCTCAGTCCCCTCCAGCTCCTCGCTTTTACTCTGAACAGGATCAGTTCAGCTTCAGGACTCCTGACTTACAGACCCTCCTCTCCTTGGCAGCTCTCAGGACTCCCAAAGGCCCACAGCTGGCGGGCCTTCTCTGTGCCCACTGTCCCCCCACCCCTGGAGCCTCTCACCAGTGTCCACACCCAGTTTACTTCACTGGGAGCAGCACAGCCCCTCCTAGCCGAGGTGTGGCCCGCACGTGCCCTGGCACCTGGAGTTGCGGGAATCGAGTTTTGGCCACGGCACGGGGCCTAGAGGAGGCGGCGCTCTTGGGTAAGCTTAGGCAGCAGAGGGTCTGCTCTGATGTTTGCTGGTTCGTTACGAGCCTCTTTCTCCCCTGTTCTCCAGATCTCCTTGTCGCACACATCCTGCAAGTCACAGTCTTGTGGGGGCGACTCGCATTCCTCCTCATCGTCCTCATCCTCCTCGTCCTCCTCGTCGTCCTCGTCCTGCCATGGGAACTCAGGGGACTGGGATCCCAGCTCGTTCCTGTCAGCACATAAGCTCTCGGGCCTATGGAACTCCCCACACTCCAGCGGGGCTGTGCCGGGCAGCTCACTCGGGAGTCCTCCTTCCATCCCCGGTGAGTGTCCAAGCTTGGGAGACCAGCAGGCCTCATAAATGTAGACAGCTGTGTTTTCCTAACTACTGGGTTCAAACACACCGGAAGATCCGTTATTACATAAATGTAGAGCTATTCTGGTGGAAGCAGAGGGGCATTCCTTTCCCCAGGACTGTGAAGTTGAAAACACTGCTGCCATCCGCTCCGTAACGGTTCCCACTGCAGCCGGAAGAGGGCCTGCAGAGCCCTGGTTGAATAGAAAGTGGAGTCTAGGCCCTGGCTGGTGTGGCTCAGTGGATTGAGCACCGGACTGCAAAACAAAGGGTCTCTGGTTTGATTCTCAGTCAGGGCACATGCCTGGGTTGCCGGCCAGGTCCCCAGTAGGGGGCACACGAGAGGCAACCACACATTGGTGTTTTTCTCCCTTTCTCCCTCCCTTCCCCTCTCTACAAATAAATAAAATCTTTAAGGGGGAAAAAAAAGTGGAGTTGGGTAGAAAGTAAAGTCTAAGTCCTTTAGGAAATTAGGACTTAAGAGCCCAGAACACCTGCCCCTGCAGCAGCACAGGGGACCTGCCGGCCTCCATCGTCCTATCCACCACCCCCCCTCTTTCTCCACCTGAGGGGTGGGTAGAAAAGGCTGCACTTCTGTCCACAAGAGGTGGCAGTGCAAGCTGCCATGATTATTAGCGTGTTTTGCAGCCTTGTGTACCTTCTTCAGACCTGGAGTGAGGAGGGAGCCCTTAGAGGCTGAAAGAAAGAACTGGTTTGGTGATGCCCTGTGCAGATACAGAATCACTATCTGTTTGTCAGCAGAGGGGCAGAGATCTCAGAGGGGTGCCGCCCCCTCCTCTGAGAGTTGAGCAGTACGTGTTTCTAGTTGTTCTGATGCATAAGCCAGAGAGAGTCATGAGAGCCTTTCCCACCTCCCTGAAGTCCAGGGCCACCCGGGAGTCCAGCACACCCACCGCCTCACTCCTTGTGGCACAGAGGCAGAACCTCAGCCTGCTGCTCCTAGAGGTGGAGCAACCTTGACAGGAAGGGTGCATTTCCCCTGCTGTGCCCCAGTGCGGGTGTGTGGTCTTTCATGGGGCTAGCACTCCATTGCCTTCTCCCTCAGGCCTGTGCGGCCCAGCTGCTGCCTGCAGAGAAACTCTGCAGCCCGAGCTGGCACTGCTAGGCATTCCCAAAAGCTCCTAGGGCCACTGTGCTGAGGGTCTGCGTCCAGATCCCAGGAAGCAGGGTGCTGGGGCAGCAGGCCCTTGGGCTCTCCTCCCTGGTGTCTGGGCTCCCCCTCTGACCCTGTCTCCCCATGTGCCCACAGGTGAGATTTTCCCCATCTCAGAGCACCGCCGGCACCCAGACCTCACCGCTCCACCTAATAGCCCCACGGGCCACCACCCCCAGCCAGTGCCGCTGCTCGCCTCGCACCCTGGGTCCTTTGGCCCCCCACCCCACCCACACCTGTTGCCCACCACCCCCTCCGCACCGTCCCCTGCGCAGGCTTCAGAGTGCCCTGCTGCCACTGCCACCATGCCACACTCCCCAGGGGCATGTCAGAGCCCCCATCTGCCTTCCACCAGCATGCCGCTCCTGAAGATGCCGCCTTCTTTCTCGGGGTGCAGCCACCCCTGCGGCGGGCACTGCGGCGGGCACTGTGGCGGACCTCTGCTCCCACCACCGAGCTCACAGCAGCTCCCTGGTGCTCACAGGTAAGCAAGCAGCCTAGAGGACTCACTCCCTGTGGACTCGGGCTTAGGGTTTTGGAAAACTGCAGAGGCAGCTCTTGGGGTGGAACTTAAAGGGTTGGCTCAAAAGTGTTCGCAGTTTTAAAAGAAATGTTTGGTTCTCCTTTTTTTAGAATTTGGAAAAATTTAGATATGTCTAAAGAGAACATGTGCTCAACCTAAAGATAAACTCCCAATTCTGCAGCATAGTCTTCCTGATATTTCTCCGTGTAACGTAATTAGGTCCCTGATGGCGGGGGGGGTGCTGTATTTTGTTGTTGTTCTTTAATTTTATATATTGATTTTAGAGAGGATGGGAAGGAAGAAAGAGAGAGAAACATTGATGTGATGTTCCACTTACTGGTGCACTCATTGGTTGATTCTGGCATGTGCTTTGACCAGGGATCGGACCTGCTGCCTCGGTGTATCGGGGTGATGCGTCCCAGCCACCTGAGCTACCTGGCCAGGGCAAGTCCCTGTTCTGTATAATTTTTGTGTAGGGATTTTTTTAGCATTATACCATGAACATTTCCCCAGTTATAATTCTTCAGAATAATTCTGTCATAAGCTTCGTTGCACCCAAATCTGTGTTTGAGTTAGGAATTCCATCCTAATGTAGAGGCTTAAGTAACTCCAGTTACTAAGAAAGTTTATATTAAGACACAGTTCTGTAGAGAAGGTACATGTCTGTTTTTGTACCGTAGTTCAGATCTGTATTTCTGAAACATTTATAGCTGTCCACTCGGAAACCCCACCGTTCTCAGCGGCTCCCTCTTTGTCCCCCAGTGCGTCAGCGGCTCTACCCAGCCCTGTTTGGCTCCTGCGTGATCTTCAGAGCCACAGCTCCACAGGCGGGAAGGTGTTGCCCCAGGTGCACCTGACCGTTCTCCAGCCGCTGATCAGTTAGGCGTTCCAGTATTATAAATAATGTCTCTAAAGATGTCTTTGCCTAAAGCTTTTTCCGTCTATTAGATTTTTCTCCTTGGAATAGATCCTTCATAATGAAAAAAATTCTCATTTGAAAAGATGTCAGGATATCATTTTTTGGTTTTGTTTTGTTTTTTTAACAAGGGTTTCTAATACACTGAAAAATTGCTCTCCAAAGAGTTCTGCACATGCCGCAGCACCAGTGTGTGGGTGCTGTCTCCGCACTCTCTGGGGCACTGGGCGCTGCGATTTTGCTGACGTAACAGATGAAGAGTGGTCAGCTTGCATTAAGGTTCTCTAAGCACCACTGATCATGGTTTCTGCCTCTCCTTTTCTGCCCTGCCCCTGGATCCCACTGCTGATGCCAGTCTGTCTTATGAGACACCCTGTACTTCCTCAAGTCCGGAGTCAGCAGTGCCACAGGAGAGTGTGGACTTGCAGACAGACATGGGCCGAGTCCCACTACTCCTTGAGCAGAGCAGTGAAGCTCTCTGAGCCTGCCTCCTCCACTGCAAGATGGGGACAGCAGCACCTGTTTCGCAGGCCTTGGAAATGGTTAGAAATAGCGTGTTCAGACCTGGCCGGGCCACTCAGTTGGTTAGAGAGCCATCTGGATCCGCCCAGGTTACACACACAGCAAACCACCAATGAGTGCATGAATAAGTGGAACAAGTTGATCTCTCCCCTCTCCCCCCAAATCAATTTTTAAAAAATAAAAAAAAATGTAAGGAGCACATTGAGTATGGTACCTGCACAGGTGGTAGCTCTTAGAGTCTGGGGCCTGCAAGCCACATTTGCTTTCCTAACCTCAAGGCCCCAAGGCTAATGCAGCTTTGCCCACTGGAGATGGACCCTGCTGACCTCCTTTGGATGCCCCAAGGGAGCCATCAGGCCACTGATCTGTTCAGACACCTACGTACTGAGCACCTACTGTGTGCAAGGTTGTTAGGCTGCACACTGGGGCCCAAAGATAGAAGTGGCACGGTCCCTGCCTTTGGAGAGTGCTCATTTGGTCTGAGACAAACAGGAAAACGGATTGTCACAGTACGGTGTCATAGACGGCAGGGTGGAGAGGTGTGCAGTGCTGTCAGAGTCTTGGAGCATCACATGGGTGTGGGCAGAGGAGGCCTGCGGGGCCTTTCCAGAACTGCGCCATTGAGCTGGGCCCTGAGGGACAGCGAGGGTGTTGGCCCTGTTCCTGCGAGAGGCACCGACGCAGCTGGACTGCCTTCATGGGCCATGGGGACAGCAATAGTTGGGCTGCTGTTCCCCAGGGTCCTGTAGCGGCCTGCTCCTCCCTGCCCTCTCACCTGCAGGCCTTTCTCTCTTCCCCGTCAGCAGAGACCCTGGGTGCAAGGGGCACAAGTTTACACACAGCGGCCTGGCCTGCCAGCTGCCCCAGCCCTGCGAGGCAGATGAGGGGCTGGGTGAGGAAGAGGACAGCAGCTCGGAGCGCAGCTCCTGCACCTCGTCCTCCGCCCACCAGAGAGATGGGAAGTTCTGTGACTGCTGCTACTGCGAGTTCTTCGGCCACAATGCGGTAAGTGAGCCTGCCCAGGCCAGAGAGGGCTGGGGGCCCACCATGGTGAGCCAGAGGGGCGCCTGCTCTCCCCGGAGACCCTTGCTCGAGGGGACAGTGACCGCACTGGGGCCCTGCGAGTCTCTGCGCCCGCATCTGCTGACTTGATCCTACAGCAGACTGGTGAGGTGGGGATTTTTAAACATTTTGCTACCTTTGCTCTTTTCGTGGTTTCTCTTAAGATTAACTTTTTTTCTTTAGGCGGAAGGACAGGAAATGGCAGAGAGGAAAGCTATGATTCTGAGGAGTTTGTGTGCGTGTGTAATCACAGAGGAGTGAAGGCTTGTGCGTGATGAAGGCAGAGTGGAAGCAAAGGCTCTCAGTCCCCCAGGTGTGAGAACCAGCCGAGGGACAGGCCGTGGGCACAGACGGCGCCAGGAAGGAGGCACAGAGCAGAGTACAAGCTGTCTCTGGACAGGGGGAGAAAGCAGTTCAGAAGTCTGCTCAGGTGAAGAGGAAGGGCCGCCACTAGGGGAGCACAGTTGAGGGCAGAAGAAATGGAAGTGATGATGCTAGTTGCCTTTGAGCTAGGGCTGACCCTCATTTTAGAGGTGACGAAATTGAGGCTCACAGACTCAGTGACCTGCCCAAGGTCATAACATCTTCCCGGTGACGACGCCTGGGCTCAAACCTACTTTCCTGGCCCCCAGGCCAGTGTGCCCCCAACGCCCTCCGCCCACCACTGCCTTGGCTCCCGCCTGGCTGGGGTTGAGCCATTTGGCCTCTGAGGCTGTGTAGAAAGAACAGCTGTCTCACTCCTCACCACATGTTCACTGCCAGCGGGGGGGAGTGCTCGGGCTTCCCAGGCCCAGAGTGTAACATCAGCGCCTCCCCTCCCCCAGCCACCCGCCGCCCCGACGAGTCGGAACTATACCGAGATCCGAGAGAAGCTCCGTTCAAGGCTGACCAGGCGGAAAGAGGAGCTGCCTCTGAAGGGGGGCGCCCTGGGCGGGATCCCTGGGGAGCCCACCGTGGACCACCGAGATGTGGATGAGCTGCTGGAATTCATCAACCGCACGGAGCCCAAAGCCCCCAACAGCGCCAGGGCTGCCAAACGGGCCCGGCACAAGCTGAAAAAGAAGGTGGGTGTAGGGGGAGCCCTGCTCTGCCGCCTCTTCTCCCCGAGGAGTCTCTTGCCCCAACCCCCAAGACTTCTGGGGGACGAATGGTGCTGGCTGCCAAGGACTTTGGCTCACTGCTCTGGGGAGTCTGAGTGAGTTTGGGAGGCATCAGGGTCAGGGAGACGGGGGTCCAGTGACTGGAGGATAAACGAGTCCTGGCCTCAGAAGCAGCTTGCTGGATTCCTCCAAGCCCAGGGCTTGCTTTAGTCAGTCAGTCATTTATTCATTCAGAAAACACTGCAAATACTGGGACCCAAAGCCTTTGTTAAGTTCCCACCTGGAGAAGCCCAGGCCGTGGAGAGACTGAAACTGGACAAGTGTTGTTAGTATGTGACAAGTCCTGGCCTGAGGGAAGCCCCCCATCCTGTCTGAGTTTGCTGGCAATGGCCACACTGAGAGGCTGGCTCAGGAGCGAGTGCACAGGTACCAGCAGGGCCTTCCCGGCAGCGGGCATAGCACAGACACAGCAGCTTGGTGCGTCCATGGCCCACCCAGCAGAGGCAGGACGGACAGCGGAGGCAAGGAAGGGGCTGGCATGCCCTGCTGAAGAGCTTTGACTTGACCCTGTAGCTGAGGGGAGTCACTTTGGGGCTTTAGTCAGAGTTAAACTCAGTCGATTCTGTGTCCCAGGGTTATTGTGTGGCAACATGGACAGTCACCTGGGAGGGTGATACTCCCGGCCAGAAAACTGAGAGCCAGGATAGAGATGATTGATGGTGGGGTGGAACAGGAGCGATGGCTTTTCAGAGGAAGCAGAAGTGATCTGGTGATCTGATTATGGGACAGGGAGATGAAGGAGTTAGGGGTGTACTCCAGGTGTTTGCTTGGGTGACTGGCAGGGTGGGGTGCCTCCACTGAGCAAGGAGGGGATTGGCAGAAGACAGGCATTTGGCTAGAGTGCGTTGCCTCAGCGGCTCACACAGGACACCCAGGTGGAGGTGCGGGGCTGGGCAGTGCCAACGTGGAAACGTAATTGGAGCCATGGGAGCGATCCAGGTTGAGGCCAGTGAGCCCTTCCCGGGCAGCCCTAATGCCAGGCAAGCCCCAGGGCTTGGTGGCTGGTCCCCTGCCACCTCATTACCTCTTCGCCCGCCCCCAGCTGTGTCTGCGCGGTGCCACACTTGGGAGCCCAGCAGCCAAGGAGACTGGGTCTGACACCCAGCTGGCTCCAGGTCCTGGGTGGTCAAACGGCCCCGGTGCCCAGAAGGCAGCAGTGGTCCTCTACCTGTGTCCAGCCCAGAGGACAGACCAAGACCTTGCCATGCACCCTGAAGCAGGGGTCCAAGGGTCCCACCACTGCCTTCAGAAAGTGGTGTGCACTTCGTTCCTCTCACCCAGTGTTGTCCGGCAGACATGTCCAGTGGGCAGCAGTGGTCACTCTGGCCCTTCCTAGCCTCTTAAGGCTGTTAGGTCTCAGCCAACACACTTCACTGTTCCCAGGCCTGGTGTCCTTTTCCTAAACGTGGGTGTGCTGCCCATTCTTTCTCCTTCACCAGTAGTGCTTGCTGTCTTCTCTCCCCTCCTTTTCCCCCTGACAACTTCCTTCCAAGCGCAGTTCAGGTGTGCCCTCTTTGCAGCCTCGCTCAGGTCACTTCTCCCGCTGTACTCCCACTACACCTCAAACATCTCTCTAGTCCACCATTCACCACACTGCTTCCTTGCTCAGCAACTCACTGCACAGCTACTATCTTCCCAGCCCGGTGCAGCGGCCAGGGTCCCCCGGAAGCAAGCAGTTGCGTTATCACGCAATAGCCATTACCTATTTATACATGAGCCTCCTCCCTGTGTGCCTCCACCTGCTCAGGGCCTTATGACATGGCTCTCTGCCACAACACAGTGCCCCCCAGTGGTCATCCCTCAGAGTGCTCTTCTGTTCCCTCTCCAGGGGGAATAAAGCCCATTGTCTTTCTATGTCCTCAGCCTATTTTCAGACCTTGACTCCCCCCTTGCTCCTTTGGAACCAACCCCCACCTCTGTCATCTGCAGCCTCCCAGCCACCTCTGTCCACTGAAGACTGTCACCAGCCTCTTCCTCCTCTCTCACCAGTACTCTCCACTCCTTGCCCCACTGCTTTTGCATTAACGGCCCCTCAGAAAAACTGCAGCCCTGGGTTTGAACCCGACGCGCCTCTCCCCTTCTACACCTCAAGGAGAGCAGCAAATCAAGTCTGGGCTGCGTGACCTTCTGCTTTCTTGAGCCCCCATATTGCCCAGTAGGCCTCTGGAGCGCCCAGGTCTTCCTGCTCCTCTTCCCTTCATTGCGGCCCTTGGCCAGACCTCCATTCTTCAGCTTCAGGCTCCCCCCTCCCCCCACCTTATTTTTTGGCAAATAACCTCATTTCCTGTTCAGATGAGGCCAATGGACAGGCACTCTCTCGTCTTCCCAGGCCCCTTGCAAAGTTTTCTTCTCATGGTGAGGACAGCTTCCTGCTTTTCCTAGGAAAGGCCCATGCGGGCCTTTCTCGTCTGTCTGGGCTACCCTTGACTTTGGTCCTGTGCCTGCAGCCTCTCCTCCGAGCTCTTTCCCATCAGCTTCCCCCCTGCACCCTGTTCGTTTTTGAAAGTTAACTGTTCCTTGAGCACACAACCTCTGTCTCACCCCCTTGTCTCTTTCCTCTCGTCACATCCGGGTTCCTCACAAATGTTTTCTGTGTTCACCATGTTAGTTCTCCCATCTCGCCAAGGACTCTCTTTCGCCCCCACACCCAGTGCACAGTCTCCTGTGCTATCCTCTGTGTCCACTAGGCAACGTCTTGCATTTTGTGTGTGCTCTCCTTTTCAAACGTCTTTTTTTTTTTGGGGGGGGGGGCACCTCCACTCTCAGTTGGGAGGTGCAGGGAAAAGACGGTGAGCGTGCCCAGTACACCACATTTCTCACCTCCTGCTCGGCCCTCTTTTCTGTTGAGCTCCTCCTCCTGTGCCTGACCCTCCTCCTGAGGACACCTCCCTGGGAAAGAAAAGCCATCTAGACAGTGTTGCCTCTGGATTTGGTCTGGCCACCTGCTTCCTCCCCACACGTCACACTGATGTCCACTCCTGCTACCAGGCACCTCCTCACAACTTCCACAGATACTAAACTCAGCACATCCAAACTGAGCTTGTTGCCTTTCTCTGAGAGGCCTCTTCCTCCTCCGCCATCTGTCTAGTTGATGCGCTGCCATCCACCCAGCTGCCTGAGCCAGAACCTCAGCACCGTCCTGGGAGGAGTGCATCGTGGTCATCGGGAAGGAGCAGCGGGCCTTGGAATTGGACTTCAGTTTGAAACCTGGCTCTGCCACCCTTGCTGTATGACCTTGGGCAAATCACTTAGCCTCTGAGCCTCAGTTTCTTCATCCATAAAATGAGCATAACAGTAGAATCTAACTCAGATTGTCGCGAGAATGAGATGGAGCAATGTGGGAAAAGGTCCAACAGAGTGAGAGTTTGGTCCGAGGAGCTACAGCAGCAGCATAGTAGCTGTCGGGTTGTTTTCATGGCTCATCTCCTCCCCCCACCCCTCACTGAGTGTCCTGGCCCTGCTGCCTCCCAAGGAGCTCAGACCATCCACTTCTCCCCACCCTATGACCACTACTTCAAAGCCTTCAGTGGCTGAACGCTGCCCTCAGACCTGAACCCAGACTCACGCATGGCCTGCAGGGCTCTTCAGGATCTAGCCCCTGCTCTGCTTGCCAGCTTCATCTCAATCTGTCCCTTTTGGCCTTCCTGCCCACTCCCATCCCCCAGAAGAAATCTGGGCTCCAGCCGTACCTGTCAGCGGTTTCCATTCCCTAAAGATTTTGTGCTTTTCCATTTCACAGCTTTCCACTTGCTCTTCTACCCAGAAAGTGCTTGTCTTCGGGATAACCCACTCACTGTTCAAGCTCAGGGAGATCCTGCCCCTGGGAAGCAGACCTGATGGCCCAGCCTGGGTCCCCAGAGCACCCTGTGCTTTCTTCCCTCTAGCTCTTGCCCCTGTCACCCAGCATTAAACAGCCTATTTGCATGTCTGTCTCCCCAGCACAGTCAAGTCAGCATGCAGAGACTGTCCTCAGGGCCCAGCCCAGTGCCTACAAATCAATGGTCGTGAGACAATTGTCAGACAGGAGTGAAAATGTAAGAACTTCTGCAGATCACAGCTGGGGGTGCTGTCCCAATGTTGCCACTTACAAGCCATGTGACCTTGGGCCAGTTCCATATTCTTTCCAAAGTCAAGTGTCCCCATCTGTAAATTGAGGATAATGAGGCGACAAGGGCCCTTGTGAGTACTGAGTGTGAGATAGCTGGTGGGACATCCCAAGCTCACGGTGCCCAGCAGAAAATGTGTGCCTGTTTTCCCCTTCTCACCACTGAAGTTGCATTCAGTTCTGTATCACCCCCGTCCACACCCGTTTCAGACACCTCGGTTTAGCCACAGAACTCTCCTGCAAATGAAATCCCCCATGGAACTCAGTTTCTAACCACAGCAGAGGTGTTCTGGTACAGGGGAGGAGTGAAGAGAAGGGCTTTCCAGTCGTTTATGTATCCCTGTGGTCTCACCGCTCTGCCCATGGCCTGGAACTCCATGGTACACAGCTGGACACACTGCTCCAGACTGAGCTGCCCCCTCACCTGAGCTGGTGCAGCCTTACCTGTTCCCAGGGAAAGGGACACACACTCTCTCAGGTGTGTCCTCATAGCAACCCTATGAGGTAGAGGCAGGTGGGTTTTCTCCCAAATTTACAAGTGGGGATAGTGATGGTCAGAGAGAGTAAGTGATTTGTTCAAGGCCTCACATCGGTGGTCCTGGTCAATCGTGGAGCCGGCATTCACAACAAGATGAGAGAATCAAAAGCATGTGTGCCTGCTGGGCCACAAAGTTCCCCTCTTTTAAGTAGACTCTGAGGTTGTGGCAGGCCCTCATTTCTCTCCCCACTTTCCTTTTCCTGTTTCTCTTCCTTCAGTCCCAGATCAGCCGGAAATACGTGAAATTGTGGGAGGCACCCAGCCCCTGGCACAGTACCACCACCCCTTCCCGTGGGCCTTTGACATCAGTCCCCTGTCCCCTGCAGAAGGCCTGGTGCCGTGAAGTTGGTGGGGTAGGGGTGACTCAGCCCACAGACTTACTCTTTTGGTCTCCAGGTCTGTCTGTCAGCACTGATGAGCAAGGCCCAGCCTTCCAGGCTGCAGCTGGACAAGTTGGCTGCTTTTGTACCTTGTCCTGGGGCCCCTTGTGGCTGCCTGCTGTATGCCAGGGGCACACTTCAGGTATGGCCTGGGTTTCTTGAGGCCTCCTGAGCAGTGAGTGGCCTTCCTGTGGGATGTGGCCCTCTTCAGTGGCACCTGCACGTGGCGTCAGGAGGGCGCACTTTCCCAGAGTGGTAGCATCTTCCAGGACAGCCTCACAGTCCCCACATTCCTCCCTGGGGGTCCCAAGTGCCAGCACAGCTCTTTCCCTGCAACCTGCAGGGTTGGGGGATGCTGCTGCAGCAGCCATCTTCCTCACATGCATCCCCACTTGACACTTTATTCCGGAACTGTTGTCCTCATCTTGCCAAGTCCACCTGAAATTCAGCCAGTAGGCGGAGTGCTCAAACCCAGGCCTGGGAGACAAGATTCAATGAGCTGTGTTTCCACCCCTTGGAGTCCAGCCTTCTTGGGCCCTGGGACCAACACTGGGGCTCTGGATGAACAAGCTGTGAAAACCTTGTACTCTGGGTGTAACTGCCTCCATCCCCAGGATGTGAACCTGTCCGATTGATTGCTCTTCACCATCACTCCTGCAGGGTGGGCAAGCAGGCAGGATTGTGAGGCCCTGTCTTCAGCCAGTTAGTGGCAAAGCTGGGCCCCAGGCTGGTGTGTTGAGTGTCACATTGTGCCTGGCAGCTGCCAGGCCCCTGCTGAAACTGCCTCTTCTGTTGGCAGGAAAAGGAGAAGGCCCAGTTGGCAGCAGAAGCTCTAAAGCAGGTGAATCGTGGTGTTTCTGGAAGCCGAGAGCTGGCGCCTGCCCGGGAGAAGCTTTTGGAGTGGCCTGACCAGGAGCTGGGTCGGGTCAACGGCTTCCTGAGCAGCCGCCTGCAGGAGATCAAGAACACTGTCAAGGACTCCATCCGTGCCAGCTTCAGTGTGTGTGAGCTCGGCATGGACAGCAATGGCTTCTCTAAGGAGGGGGCTGCTGAGGCAGAGACCCAAGGTCTAGCTCCCTCCAACCTCAATGGCTCCACAGAGCACCGGCCTGACATCAACCTTGACCTGTCCCCTTTGACTTTGGGCTCCCCTCAGAACCACACGTTACAAGCTCCAAGTGAGTCAGCTGCACCATGGGCAGAAATGAGAGGCCCCCAGCCACCATGGACAGAGGTGCGGGGCCCCCCTCCTGGAATCATCCCCGAGAACGGGCTAGTGAGGAGACTCAGCACCGTGCCCAACCTGTCCCGGGTGATATGGGTCAGAACACCCAAGCCAGGCAACACCAGTTCTGAGGAGCCCAGCCCAAGGGAAGCTCCTAGTTGCAAGCAGGATCTGCCCGAGCCTGTAGCCTCAAGTGTGAAGCTGCGGAAAGGCAAGAGACAAGGTGCCCAGGCCAAGAAGAGTGAGGCGAGTCCGGCCCCCCGGCCCTTGGCCAGCCCGGAGGCTGCCAGTGCTAAGGGCCGGACCTCTAGCCCCAAGCAGCCAAGCAAGGCCCTGGAGCCTCCCAAAGTGGGCAGCTGTGCTGAGGCCATAGAGGGGAGCCAAGGAAGCCGGCCAGGACCAGGCTGGTCTGGCAGCCCCAAAGCCGACAAGGAAAAGGGCAGCTCCTGGCGAAACTGGCCAGGGGAGGCCAAGGCACGGCCTCCGCAACAAGAGTCTGTGCAGCCTCCAGGCCTGGCAAGGCCACAGAGCTTGCCGCAGGGCAAGGGCCGCAGCCGCCGCAGCCGCAGCAAGCAGGAGAAGTCAGCCTCCTCCTTGGGTGAGTGCACCAGGAGCGGTGGCTGGCCCCCACCCCGCCAGCCCTCGGGGTGGAGGGCTGGCCTCATGTGTGGGCGGTGCTGGCCCCATGGCCCGGATGTGGGCACTGAGCCCTGCTGGCTGTGTCTTCCTAGACGACGTGTTCCTGCCCAAGGACATGGATGGGGTGGAGATGGATGAGACTGATCGGGAGGTGGAGTACTTCAAGAGGTAGGCGTGGGGCCACCCACTGTGCTGCCCACATCCGGGCCCTTCAGAAAGGCCTCTCCCTGGGTCCTGAGCCCTTGATGGAGAGCCTCGCCCCGCCTCCCAGGCTCTTTCCCACCAGGCTACCTGGAGCCCACTTGACAGGACAAGGCATCAGAAGGTTCAAGGGACCTCATGAAGGAGGGGTGTGTGTATCAGATCCCAGGAGCCAGGGCTTTTTCCAGCCCTGTTTCGTTCAGTTTGTCTGATCCCTGTGTTCCCTCTGCTCTTCCTGGGCTGAGCTCTGGGTTGGAGGGGCATGGAACAGGCTAGGTGCGGGGAGAGCATCCCCATGGTCCAGTGACCAGTGCTGTTGCAGGAGGAGGGGTGGGACTGGGGGAGGCTGGAAGAGGGACTGCAGAAGGGGCTGAGGGGTGGGGACCAGGCTGAAACTTGAGGAGCAGGTGTGAGCAAAGGGCATTTGTGACAGCGGGGTCAGCACACGCAAGGGTCTGAGGTGCAAGAAACACACTGCCCTTGAGGCCGGAAGACGGCCCAGTAGGGCTGGGGTCAAGTGCAGGCTGAGGAGGGGGCAGTGTTACCTTTCCATACACTGTCCCCTGGGTTTGTGGGCGCCCCATTCAGCTTGGCCCCCTGGCCAGTGTAGCCCTCGTACCTGCTGGACCCTCAGCGTCCAGGAGCTGGGGGCTTGTGCAGCACTGACCCACTCCAGAGGCCAGGACACGTGGGTCTGGGAGTGGGGTTTGGGAGGCAGGGACGCAGCCTCTGATGGGGCTTCTCCTGTGTCGTCCCCCCAAACCCGGCAGGTTCTGTTTGGATTCTGCAAAGCAAACACGTCAGAAAGTGGCTGTGAACTGGACCAACTTCAGCCTCAAGAAAACCACTCCCAGTGCAGCTCAGTGAGGTAGAAACCCCCAGAAGTCACCTGTGCCCCTCCCAATGCTCTGCCAGCTTCCATGTCCACCAGACCACTGCACTGTTTGAGGCACAGGGAGCTGGGCTAGGGGCTGGGGCCCCTGGCCCTGTACATCCCAGTGACAGCAGAGCGGGCCGTGCTTGCTGGAGGCACAGACCTCTGTCCCTTCCTCGCTTCTCCCTGGGCCAGGACCCCTGTGAGCCCTCCTGCCCATGCTGCTGAGGGGCCTCTTCCTGTGCTGCCACCCATAGAGCACCTCCATCGGGCCTCTGCTTCCCACCTCCCAAAGTGCCCTGCCAACCATGGGCCCCAGAGGGCTGCCCCCACCCCTGACTGGTTAGCCTCAGAGTTGAATCTCACTTGCTGGGTTGAAACTCCCTCACTGGCTCCTCCATGCAGGCTACCAGGGTCAGCCCCGAGGGAGCAGTGAGGCACTGCCAAATTAGGCCAAGGCCTCAGAGGTCCTTTGGGTACAGAGGAGTTGGTGGGCGCTCTCCCTCAACAGGATAGGTTCCACAGGGAAATTGATAGCAAAGCCGCCTCCTTGAAAGAAGAGACCTGGTCCCCCACTGGGCTTTGGTCACCTCTCCTGGCCATCTGCACAGTCCCGCTTGGCTGCATTCACCAATGATGCTCTGGACTGAGGTCAGGAGCCTGGAGAGGGCCCTGGGCTGAGACCCACAGTGCAAAAGAGAAGGGTGGCTGGCAGGCAGGCTTTGATGCTGTACTCAGGGATGCATCTCAGTCCTGAGTTATGTCACTGGGGTCAGGCCTCTTCTAGCTGGCAACCACACAGTGCCCTTAAGGCAGCAGGACACTGGGGCAGGTGAGCTGAGCCCAGGGACCCCCAGGGGGGTGTCCTTACTTGTCTTCCTCTTCTTTGCAGTGCTGGGGCAGCAGACCACCAGATCCTTGGCTGAGCCTGCTTTCCCATTGGTGGTCCGGATCCGCCCCTTTGGCTGCTGGTTCAGCTCCCCAGGGACAGCCTTTGGGACTGAGCTCCTGTGCACCCTGGCACTGCCCTGGAGTGTAGGCTCCCCGCAGACTTGCCTCTGCCCTGCTGCTCTGCAGGGCTGGGCTCCCTGACCCTTTGCCAATCTAAGACATCCCAGTCCACATCCCCAAGAGCTTTTGCCAGCACCAGAGTGCCCTCTTGCCTGTCTTTTCACCTCCATTGGAGCCAAAGTGGCAGGGACCCCACCTTCATCTGTTACCCCTTCTGAGAAAAGGGGGTACACCTCCTCCCATAGGCCCAATTTCCCTGTCATCCAGGAAACCTCTAGCCACATTTTCCCTCTTAGGCTGATCTCTTTCCCAAGGAAGATGCTCCCTCCCCCAAGTTCCCTTGACCTCTACCCTCCCCAGAGCAGGACTAGGAGCAAGTGCTGGAAAAAGCAGTGCTGCTGGCAGACTGGGACCAGCCAGGCTGTGTGTGTCCCCCCCACCCCACCCCCAACTCCATGTGCCAGAGGTGGGGCTCTTCCTCCATACCTGCCTGGAAAGGGTGTGCTACTGGGAGCCTTGGGGATGGTCCAGCCGCCTGTGAGATCTAGGGTGACATTTCACATGTGGATAGCATGCCAGTGCTGTGGCTATTTCTTGACAAGGTCTTCAATTTCACCCTCTGCTGGAGGCGACTGGGGAAGTCTGTGGGAGCAGAAGTAGGAGGCAACTGCCCCTGCCTCTGCGGGGACCCGTGGGGACCCAGAGGCGGCCTGGGAAGGCCATTGCTCACCATGTGGCCATGCCTTTCTGTTTCCCCAGCCCCTGCCGGGTCCGGGTCTGGCATCTTCATGGTGTCCCGAGATGCCCACCTGCCGGCTGAAGGTCCACACTTTCCTCCTCCACATCGCACCCACCTGCCCAAGACCCACTCTGCTCCTGCCATCCTGGACCAACCAGAAGCTGAGTGGATGCCGAGCGAGCCAGGCTGGGGCCCCTCAGGACCTCCACAGAGCCGCCTCCTGGTGCTACCCAGCCTCCACACTCAGAGCCCGGGGGCGGGGCTGGCCTGTGGGCAGGGACTGATGGTACTGCTGGCCCAACACTGCTCTTTTTGTGTTTGTTTGTTTGGTTTTTTGTTTCTGTATGTTTTATTTTATTTTTTTAATTCTTTACTTTTGATACTGTGAAGATCTTTCCTGCCGAAAGATAAAGATAAAGCAACATTTGGACACAGTCTGTGTGCGGGTCGTTTGCTGGGCGGGGCAGGGTGTGGCGAGGGATGGAATCAGAAGCATGGGGTTGCTTTAGTCACCATGCTGGGCACGTGCTATGTGTCAGTGGTTTGGCAGCATTGTTTCCACTTAATTGCAGCTGTTTAAGTGGGACTGTTAAATGGGACATCTGTAGATGGAACTGAAGATGGACAGGGAAAGCTGTAGTGATTTCAGTCTGGCTGATAAGGGTTAGAGCATGGCCGGTGTGGCAGCGGTCTCTGCCCTCTCCTCCTGTTGGAGGGCCTCAAATGGGAGCAGCCCTCCCCCACACAGTGTCTGTTCCCCCTCTGTAAGACGGTGAATTAGAGGAATGGAACTTGGTCAGTGAGCAGATGTGAGAAGGGGCCTGGGGAATGCTTGAGGCCTTAATGGACAGCGCACCTGCAGCCTGGGTGTCCTGGGGTAGTCCGGGTGGGGGGGGGGGGGTGGACAGAGTGTTTATAGACTGGATCTGACTTTCCAATGGGGATGAGACAAAGCTTAAGTATTTGAGAGTTAAGAGGAACCGAACCCTTCTGTAAGGTAAAGCAAACTACTGCTCCCTCCCCTAGCAGGTAGGTCTGGTCTGTAAATTCAGATTTTAGTGTAGATTTGCTAAAAATGCCTCACATACGTGTGTGTCCCAACTCCTTGTCCCCAGTGGCGTTTTCTCAGCTAAAACCAACACTTGACTTGAGCTCATGTGGGGCGTGATGGAGGTGGTGGGCACAGTCACTAGGATTCCTTATGGAGCTGGATCAAAAAACACTCCCTCTTCCCACCCCACCCCCGACTTGGTTGAGCCCCACCATGGGCTGGCTGGCTGGCTGGCAGTGCAGGCTTCCTCTTCTAAAGGGAAACAGCGTTGCAATCCCTGGCCCCTGGCCTTTCCCAATCCCTAAGGAAGTATGAACACTCCCCAGTGAAATATCCAGAAACTCATTACTTGCACCAGCCTCCTGCCCCCGCTGTTGAACTGGCACTGCTAGCTGGAAGACGGGGCACCTGAAAAGTACCGAAAAGCAGTACTTTTTCTACAGATAAGAGACCTGTGAGTGGCATCCCAGGCTCTTCCGTGCCTGGCCGCTGTTCTACGCTCACTCCAGCCATACCTACAACCTGTCTGTAGTTAGGCGTGGAACCCTCAGATCTCCTGACTTTTGCTCACATACTTCCCTCTTCCCATATTATACTTCCTTCAAAAACTCCTGCTTATCCTTCACTTCCCAGTTGAGAAGCACTTTTACAGTGAGAATCAATTTGCCCTGCCCTTGTGAGAATTCCAGAAGTGGTACCATGGTTTTTGATACTTCTTAACCTCAAGTCTGGTTTATATTTTTTCTCTCGAACAAATCCATAATCTCACAAGCCAGGTTTGTGTCTTGCTTATCTTTTAATCTTCCTCAGCACTGCATGATGCCCAGTCCGTGCTCGTGTTAAATATATAAAGAAAGGGTGGCACTGACCCATCACTCCCAAACGTACCCGATGACAAATTTACCCCGATAGTCACTGCTCTGGGTTCAGTTTACCTCTCCAACCCTTGCTCTGGCTAACCCCACTCCAGGTGGGCCGAGTGATCTCTTCCTTGGGAATTAGCACTTCCCCACGGCTAGGTCACTCCTGCTGGACTGGAAGCCTTTCCTCTCCTCCCCACTCCCTGCTCTGAGATTCCACACCTCTGAGCTCTGTCACAGCATTGACGGTCATAATCGCTTGATATGTACAGATCTTCGGTTAAAAACCACCATCAGCAGCATTTTATTTACCCCTCCCTACTCTGAAGGTGTCTCACTGACGAGAACACGAGTCAGAGCGGCAGTACTTGAGTCATTCATTCCACAAACCGCACCCTGCCCCCTAGGCCCTGCGGGGATGGAGACATTGCCAGGATCCCGACCAGCCGCGTCCCGGAGCTCCCCAGCCACTAGAGGGCGCAGTGTCCGCCGGCGGGGCCGCGCGGGATGACGTCACTCTTGTGAGCGAGGCTGAGTACCTGGAGGGATCCGCGGTCTTCTCTGGGGTGCCTGCCCCGCCACTGGGCTTGGCGCATGCTCCAATTTTCTAGCATCCCACAATGCTTTGCCTGACGCTTTCGCCTTGAGCCCGGGCCTGCTGCGTGGCCACACAGAAAGCCTTAATGCCGCGCCGCCGGACGGAGGTTCGGAGGAAGTTTGTCCCTCGGCGCGACCCGGCACTCAGAGGTCGTTGCTAGGCGCCGACGGCCGCTCCTTCACCTTCGGTTGGATCTCAGAGGTAAGGCGGGGTTTTGTTTTTTTTTTTTTGCCGTGGGGCGCATGCGTACGGAAAAGAATGGAGTCGGAACCCGAGCGGAAGGTGGGAGCAAAACTGGGGTCCGCGCGAGTGGCGAGCTGCAGTGAAGACGGGGAGGGGTGGTGCGCTTGACTCTTGTGTCTCTGCAGCGGGCTCGTGCCGACGAGACGACTGCCGCAGGGAGCCGCTCCGAGGCGGAGGATGAGGACGACGACGACTATGTGCCCTATGTGCCTTTACGACAGCGCCGGCAGCTGCTGGTGAGGGCCCGGGGTCGCAGGAAGAATGAGGGTAGGGGCCGGGGTTTCGAATTGGGATGGCGGGGGGGGTGAGGTGTCAGTACACGGGAGCGTGACCCCCAGGCACACGAGGCACTAGCGACCTAATCTGAGGGGTAGAGCAGCTCTGCATCTCGGGAGAGAATCCCGGGCGCGATGCCCCGCTCTTTGTTGGGCTCGGCTCGGCTCTGAGGGACACTGGTGGAACCTCAGCTCCAGAAGTTGCTGCAGCGAAGACGCAAGGGAGCTGCCGAGGAGGAGCAGCAGGACAGTGGCAGTGACCACCGGGGAGATGAAGACGACATCCCACTGGGCCCTCAGTCCAACGTCAGCCTCCTGGATCAGCACCAGCACCTCAAAGAGAAGGCCGAAGGTGGGATCAGCAGCGGTGGGAGGCCTGGCTTGGTGCATTGCTCTTGCGTCTCTCTGACACTGTCTGCCTTTTTTCTCAGCCCGCAAGGAGTCTGCCAAGGAAAAGCAGCTGAAGGAAGAGGAGAAGATCCTGGAGAGTGTGGCTGAGGGCCGAGGTATGGTTGTAGCTAGGGGCAGGGAGGTGGTCGATGGAACTTCCTCCCCCAGCCCCAGGCATGTTATATCTAAAGGGACCTGGCATCAGAGGGGCAGAAGCCAGCCCTGAACCGCATCTCTCTTTGCAGCCCTGATGTCAGTGAAGGAGATGGCTAAGGGTATCACGTACGATGACCCGATTAAAACCAGGTATGCCTTTACAGGCTCAGGAGAAACAGTTTTCTTACTTGATAAATGGTTTGTGTCTAGAGATTGGCAGGGGTGTACCAAAGCTAGCTATGCCCAAGGCTTCCCTTGACCCCTGCCCCCGCCCCCACAGTTGGACGCCTCCGCGGTATGTCCTGAGTATGTCGGAAGAGCGGCATGAGCGAGTGCGGAAGAAGTACCACATCCTGGTGGAAGGAGACGGTATCCCACCGCCCATCAAGAGCTTCAAGGAAATGAAATTTCCCGCAGGTGCGTGAGGCGTGGAAGAGGCACCACGCTTTGACAGTCAGACACCTGTGAGGTTGTGTCCCAGCCCCACTGTGCTCCGCAGCTACAGCGTAGGTAATGGGAACGCAGGGATTTGAAGAGGGGCTTCTTTAGGCTCCTTTGTCGGTTGTGCCAGCTGAACGTATTCACTGCCCTGTGTCCTTAGTGATCTTCGCTGGGCAGGTGGAGCTGGCCTTAGACAGACCTGGGTGTGAACCCTAAGGGCTTTGAACAAGCCTGTCTGTCAGTCTTTCTCCTCCTGTCTCCCTTTTTTGGGGGCCTCAGTTTTATCATTTGTAACTTGTGGGAAACAGTTGCAGTTTTACAAGCTTTGGGACCTGATAAAGGACCTGGGAGCTGATAAAGGACCTGGGAGACATGTGGATGACGCCAGGTTTGTTTTCTATAGCCATCTTGAGAGGCCTGAAGAAGAAGGGCATCCACCACCCAACACCTATTCAGATCCAGGGCATCCCCACCATGTGAGTGTGCCCCCAGGGCTCGAGGAGGGTGGCTGAGTGGGAACAGTCCTGGTGTGCACGCCGAGGAGCCTGACTGCAGACCTGGCCTCTGCTGACAGTCTGTCCGGCCGCGACATGATAGGCATCGCCTTCACGGGTTCGGGCAAGACGCTGGTGTTCACTTTGCCCGTCATCATGTTCTGCCTGGAACAAGAGAAGAGGTTGCCTTTCTCCAAGCGCGAAGGGCCCTACGGACTCATCATCTGCCCCTCAGTAAGACAGGCTGGCCCCGCAGGACAGGGCACCAAGGAGACTCCCCTGGCTGGTACCAGCCTCTGCCCCTGTTTCTGCAGCGCGAGCTGGCCCGGCAGACCCACGGCATCCTGGAGTACTACTGCCGCCTGCTGCAGGAGGACAGCTCACCACTCCTGCGTTGCGCACTGTGCATCGGGGGCATGTCCGTCAAAGAGCAGATGGAGACCATCCGGCAGTGAGCATAAGAGCCCCTCGCCCCGGGGCCTCCCCATAGCCCCTGGATAAGCTGATGGGACCTTTGCTTTAGCCACTCTGCAGACCCTGGCAGAGGCCTAGTTCAAAGGAATCCCCAGTCTCACAAAGAGGTCACTGGGGGTGGGACAGGGGGATGTGGTGAGGGACTGTGGGGACACAGCAGGTGGAACAGAGGCATCAGGGAGGTCAGGGAATTGGGGCATTCCAGACAGAAGACACAGGTGGGGGCCCAGGGTGTCCCAGAAGGCTACGGTCGTTCAGTGTGTGGTCCAGGAAGCAGGCTGGGGCACTTGGGCAGGGCTGGACCTGTGCCCTTGCCACACACAGTGCCATCCCCAGCAGACACAGCCACTGTGTAGAGTCACGGTCAGGCCATCCCTGACTGTGTTTGATAGGCATTCCCAGTCTCAGGGAAGATGTGGACACAGAACAATTGGATTCAGCGGACCGGGACAGTGGGCCCTTCCAGGCCTGCAGGGGAGCTGGGGTAGTGTGGGCTGGGGCCTGTCTGGAGACTCAGGACAGCTCCCTCCTGGGGCAAGGGGAATGACCTGGGAGAAGGGCTTGCCAGGCAGAGGTGACCACATGGGTGGGAAGGGCTCAGGAGGACAGCGAGCACTGGTCGAGAAGGCTGCAGCCTGCCCCAGGAGAGACTGCTGAGCGTAGGACAAGGTGGTGGGGATGATGGAGAGGAGACAGGTGAGGATAGACAGGAAAGAGGCCAGAGGGCGCAAGTCTCAGTGACAGCCTTTAGGTGGGGCTGAGCAGATGGCCCTGACCCCAGGTCCCTCTCTGGTCCCCAGTGGTGTGCACATGATGGTGGCCACTCCTGGGCGCCTCATGGACCTCCTGCAGAAAAAGATGGTCAGCCTAGACATCTGTCGCTACCTGGCTCTGGACGAGGCTGACCGCATGATTGACATGGGCTTCGAGGGTGACATCCGCACCATCTTCTCCTACTTTAAGGTGCCTGTCCCTGCCTGGCTGGGGTGCTCCTGCCACCCTTGGGGCTGCCCAACCCCAGTCCCAGCCCCCGAGTGCCCTCAGTCCCAGCTCTGCCCTTCCTCAGGGCCAGCGCCAGACCCTTCTCTTCAGCGCCACCATGCCTAAGAAGATACAGAATTTCGCCAAGAGTGCCCTGGTGAAGCCCGTCACGATCAACGTGGGGCGCGCTGGGGCCGCCAGCCTGGATGTCATACAGGTGGGCGGGTCCTGGTGGGTGGTCCCACCACAGGGCGGTTCTGGCGAGGGCCCTTGAAGCTCATCAGAGCAGGGTGAGTGGTCCACCTTATGGGCACTGGGGATTTCGTTCAAAACCTCAACCCTTAGCAGGAAACATTCTCAGGGTGCCCAGCCCTTGGTGGCAAGAGACTCGTAATCACCTCCTGGCCAGGGCTGTGAGTGGGACCATGGCTGGTGAGCCTGTCCTCAGGGCCACCTGACTTGGCCCCTGTGGTGGCAGGAGGTGGAATATGTGAAGGAGGAGGCGAAGATGGTGTACTTGCTCGAGTGCCTGCAGAAGACACCCCCGCCCGTGAGTGCCTCTGGCCAGGCTGGCGCAGGATCCCCAGGATGATGGGAGGGAGAGTCGGGGGGGCACACTGAGGAAGGTTAGGGATGCCGGGCAGAGGCTGTCCCCATGATGGGTTGGCCTCTCTGGACAGGTGCTCATCTTTGCCGAGAAGAAGGCAGATGTGGACGCCATCCATGAGTACCTGCTGCTCAAGGGGGTTGAGGCAGTGGCCATCCATGGGGGCAAAGGTCGGTGGTGCATACGTAGGCATGGACCCTGCTGCTGTAGCGGCCCCTCTCCTAACCCTGTGCCCTGCCCAGCTGGCCACTACTCCCCAAACTCCCACTGTCATGCTGACAGTTCCTGCCTGACCCTCCCCAGACCAGGAGGAGCGGACCAAGGCCATTGAGGCATTCCGAGAGGGCAAGAAGGATGTCCTAGTGGCCACAGACGTGGCCTCCAAGGGCCTGGACTTCCCTGCCATCCAGCACGTCATCAATTACGACATGCCTGAGGAGATCGAAAACTATGGTGGGAGCTCGTGGGGTGGGGGTGCAGGCTGGACCCCAGGCCTGGGCAGTGGGCCAGAGGTTGTTTCCTCTCCCCGCAGTGCACAGAATTGGACGCACTGGACGCTCGGGAAACACAGGCATCGCCACCACCTTCATCAACAAGGCCTGCGGTGAGTCTGCTGCCTGGGCCCCCTCAGCTGTCCCCAAGTCCTTCAGGCCCTGGTTATAGGGCCCAGGGCTGGACCTGATGGTTCCCCGCTGTCCCTGTAGACGAGTCAGTGTTGATGGACCTCAAAGCCCTGCTGCTGGAGGCCAAGCAGAAGGTGCCGCCCGTGCTGCAAGTGCTGCACTGTGGGGACGAGTCCATGCTGGACATTGGAGGTGACTGCGGAACGGGGGGCAGGCATCCAGTGGGGTGGGACAGGCACGCCATGAAACAAGTCCACACCGCACATGATGGGGCGGGGTGGGGGGGGCAAGATCTGGGGCACAGGGCCTGGCCCTGTTGCCATGCTGACCCCTATTTCCCTGCACCTCGTGCCCCAGGTGAGCGCGGCTGTGCCTTCTGTGGGGGCCTGGGCCATCGGATTACTGACTGCCCCAAACTCGAGGCGATGCAGACCAAGCAGGTCAGCAATATCGGCCGCAAGGACTACCTGGCCCACAGCTCCATGGACTTCTAGCCACCGCTGTCCCTCCTCTCCCGGAGGCCTCCATCCCTGCACGCCAGCTGCCGCTGTACATCAGCCCTCTGGACAAGAAGCCAGCGTCCTCGGCCCAGCTGGCCTGGGCTGGGCCAGGCTGCGCCTGGCTGCCTGCCCTCGGTACCCCTGGGATTAATATCCTTGCTCCCTTCTGCCCATTAAAGCACAAGCTTCTTGAGTCTCAGCCGTAGCCCTGCCTCTGGCCTTCGCCTTGCCTGCCCTGCTTCCTGGCAACCTCGCCCTCTGGCCTCCAGAGCCCTTCTAAGGCAGGGCCGGGGTGTCTCCCACACCCAGCCACCTCTGTTGTGGAAGGAGGCATCTAGCTGGGACCCCCCCCTCCGAGCCAGCTGTAGTTGTACTTGAGGCACCCCCTCAGCAGACAGGAAAATCTTTGGTAGGGTTTTTGGTTCCTCTGGTTCGCTGTCTCACTCTCCTCAGTAATGTGATGCTCCTAGGGCCCTTTGGGAGGCAACTTCCTGCCTCAGACCCCTTGCTCCTGGTAGGAACCCTCTGCTGTGTTGGCTGAGGGGCAGCAGCTGACACAGGACTGGCACTGAGGCCACAAGCACTTCCTGGCATGCTCTGTGCCGGGCTCTGCCAGGCCTCTCACAGGTGCATGGGGGAGAGACCCAACGTGGTGAAAGCGGGTGGCAGTCACGAGCAGGTTGGCGAGTGGGCTGGGTATTTCAATGTCTGGCAGGGGTGGGCCTGTCAGCAGCAGCTGTGTGCCAGGCACGCCATGTGCAAGGCCACATGCTTATCCCGGCAGGACGGCAGTTGCTCAAGCTGTGTTTGTCATTTGGTGTGTGGCCTGGGGCAGGTTACTTAATATTTCTGAGCCTTGATTTCCTCATCTTTGAAGTGGCAGAGTGCAAAGGTCCGGTGAGAGGCCGCAGCTTGGCCCCGTCTGGTCCATGTTGGGCACAAAGCCAGGTGCAGGAGGCCCTTGGAAAGGATTTCCTGCCCAAGAAACTACACCCTCTATACATGACCCCCAAACTGTATTCCTCCACCTGCTTACGCATTTTGTTCCAGCAGTGGTACTGAGTGGGCAGCATGAGGCTGGTTCTAGCCAGAATGCAGATTCATTTCCAAAATGCAGAGCCACAACACTGGTCTCCAGCCAAGCAAGGCAAAAAAAAACAAAAAAAAAGGGAGGGGGGTCCCTAGCAAGAAGCAGAGCTTAAAAAGAGCATATGAGTCTCTGGGGACCTGCTGGGGGTGTACCACCCACACTCACGGGGCCAGAGCTGTGCATGAGGACTGGGGCCCTCTGGGGCTGGGAGCGGCAGGGGAAGCCTCCCCGAGGAAGGGGCCGCTGTGCCCAGGGAGCACCGTGGTGAGGAGTGACTTGGAGGGGTTGGGCTGGGGTCAGGACTCAACACCTTGAGTGCTGGGCTGAGGAGCCCAGGCTAGACCTGAGGGCAGTGGGGAGCCAGAAGACATTTAGGAAGGGGAGAGGAGGGTGGGCCCAGGTATGGCAGTGGTTCCCAGGCGACATGCACAGGCTGGCCCTGGGTGGGGCAGTAAGGATGGAGAGAGCGAGTGAGTGTTGGAAATACTTGGAAGTAAGAACAAGCCACCAACCAGGGCTACAAGTGGGAAAGCAAAGAGTTTGTCAGTCTGGCTGTGGGGGTGCCAGGCCCCTGGTGCCCAACTGCCCCCTGGGGGAAACAGGAAGGGTCAGAGTCAGACTGAGGAGACAGCCTGCAGGTCAGATGCTCACACCCACCTGGCCCAGGTGCAGGTGCCAGTCACGCCCTCAGATGGTCCGAGGCCCCTCAGGCCTGGGTAGGCACCTTGGCCAGCGGGAGCCCTAAGGCAGAAATAGGGGACACCCCCACCCCCTCGCCTAACACCACTACTGAAGAAGGGGCTCCCCTCCCCCAGCCACACAGCTGCCTCTCTGGACAGAGGGAGGGGAAGTGGCCAGAAGGGGAAGTGTGAGTTCCCGTCGGCCTGTTGCCAGTCTCCTCAGGCCCTCGGGGTGGCGGCCAAGGGGCCCGCTGCAGCCATGGAGCCGCCAGAGACCCCCGTCAAGGATGGCATCCTCTACCAGCAGCACGTCAAGTTCGGCAAGGTGGGGACCCTGGCTGCCCAGGGTAACCGCTGGGCCTCCACCCCAGCCTCAGACAGCCACCCTGGGAGAATGGGGATGGGAATGGGGGGATCTAACTCAGGTGCGGGTGGTGGGACAGAGCCCCATCCTCAGCCTGGACAGGCGAGCTGAGCCTCCATGCACCTTGGGGAGCCCAGCCTCAGGGATGGGGAAGCTGTAAATTGGGAGGGTCCAAGGACCCAAACCTTGGGGCAGGGCAGAGCTGGAAGGCCAGCTCATGGGACAGCCTTCCACCCACCGGAGGGCCAGCGGCTGAGCTGGAGGAGCCTCCTAAACCTCTGTGGAGCCCTACCCCGCAGAACAGGCCCAGCTCCTCCCGGCCTGTCATGGGACATAGTGGGGGGTTCGCCTCTCCCAGGCAGCCAGCCCTGCACCCCCGCAGCTCAGCTGCAGCTGCTGCCCAGGCAGATAAACGGTTTCCTTTGCTTGACATTATTTGCATGTTTCCTTCCTTGCCATCACCAGAATAAGACCTCCCTCCCACCACAGTCCTAGTCCTGTGGCCCAAGTGACCTTTGGTGGGGAGGGGCACCAATATAACAGCAGTGTCAGGTGATCTGTTCCAGCCACTGGGTCCTTTACAGACATAATCCAGTGGAAGCCCGACCTCACGTTGTCCTGAACCTTTGAGAGCCCAGGACATCAGTGCTTATGGGGATGCCAGTCAGGAACAGGTGGGGCAGGGTGCTCTTGCCCCTGCTGGGCTGGCTTCGGGGGCCTCCGAGGCCCTGAGGGGCTGGGGGAGGCAGAGGCAAGACTGGGTGGCCAGGGGTGAGTGCTGAGTGGCTCCTGCTGAGCCCCGCTGCAGTGAAGGTCTTCACCCCCATCCTCATCTCCCACAGAAGTCCTGGCGGAAGGTGTGGGGTCTTCTGTATGCAGGGGGCCCATCAGGTGTGGCACGGCTGGAGAGCTGGGAGGTCCGTGATGGTGGCCTGGGGCCAGCGGGTGACCGCCCTGCAGGTCCTAACCGACGAGGAGAGCCTCGGGTCATCCGCCTGGCTGATTGTGTGTCCGTGCTGCCGGTCGACTGTGAGAGCTGCCCCCGAGACACTGGGGCCTTCCTGCTCACCACCACCGAACGAAGCCACCTGCTGGCCGCACAGCACCGCCAGGCATGGATGGGTCCCATCTGTCAGCTGGCCTTCCCGGTGAGCACAGGGCAAGCGGGCAGGGCATCTGGGTGCACTGCCTAGTTCATTCCATACTCACATCCCGTCACGCACCTAGGAGCCTGAAGAGCAGCCCAGAAACCACAGAACAAATCTTGGATGGCCATACATGCTACGGAGAAAATGAGAGACTGGGTGGGACCAGGAGTGAACCAGGGCACATTAGGCAGAATGATGGTCCAAGGAGGCCTCTCAGGAGGGGACAGTAGGCCTGAGTCCTCAAGGACAACCCAGCAGGCACACATCTGAGGAGCATGCCTGGACACTCTGGCCCCAGGAGTCCTGAATAGAGGGAGGAGCAGTGAGCAAAGGCCACCCGCCCCCAGGCAGGGAGCAGCTTGGATTGGCTGGAGGGCAAGGACTGGGTGGGCCCAGGAGGAGGCCGAGGCCAGGGGGTTGGAGAGTGGCTGAAACCACCTGGGCCACAGGTGGAGTTGGGGTTTTATTCTGAGTGAGAGGAGAGGCCTTTGTGGTTGGAGCTAGGAGACTGAGTTCTCGAGCTCCGCGGGGTCTGTGATGGACGAAAAGTGAGTGAGTCTGGCGGCTCCTCAGTACGAGGGAGAGTTGTCCCACAACTCAGCAATCTCGGGAGAACTGAAACACGCGTTTCAACAAAATAGTGCAGGGGCGTTCGGAGCAGACTATTTCCAATGGCCCAGAGGGCCAAACAGTGCGAATGTCTGGCAGCCAATGGTGGATGACCCAGAGGTGGTCTGTTCATGCTGCGGAGCGTTATCTGGCCTGAAAAGGAGTACGGTGCTGACATGCTGCGCTGTGCCACACCATGCCGCGCTGCACATGCACCGCGGATGCATTGCAGATTCACTGCAGATGCAGTGTAGATGCAGTGCGACAAGTGAGAGAGGCCGGCCACAAAAGGCCACCCAGTGCAGGGCTCCACTTATGTGGCATACCCAGAGTGGGCAAACCCACAACAATGGGAAGCAGGCTGGTGTCCCCGGGGGCTGGAGGCAGGAGGCAGTGGGGCTCGGATCCGGGTTTCCACATGGAGAGATGGGCAGTTCTGGAACTAGTTAAAGGTGATGGTTGCACATCCTTGTAACTTTCAAAAAGTTACATTGAATTGTACACTTTAAAATGGTCAATTTTACATTGCGTACTTAATTTTTTAATTTAAAAATTTTAATTTAAAACAATTTTTAAAGATTTTATTTATTTATTTTTAGAGAGTGGGGAAGAGAGGGAGAGAACATCAGTGTGTGGTTGCCTCTGGTGCGCTCCTCACTGGGGACCTGGCCCGCAACCCAAGCATGTGCCCTGACTGGGGATCAAACCAGCAACTCTGGTTTGTGGGCCCACACTCAATCCACTGAGCTACACCAGCCAGGTTTTTAAAATTTTTTTTTAAAAGTAAAGAAAAAACGGAAATTGACAGAAAAGAGACCAGTGAGGAAGCTGCTGGTTTGGCCCTGGCTGAGCTCCCATGGGCCAGGGCGGTGGTTGGTGATGGAGGTGCTGGGCGCCGGCCGAAGGGTGCAAGGGCGCTCGGGACGGGGAGGGCTGACATGCTGCCAGGAGTGGGTGGCCAGTTGACTCATCTCACCCCTAAAGATCCTGCCCAAAGCTTCACTGTCCCAAGCTGTGCAGGGACACACACAGGCTGGCCTGGTCCCTGGCCCAGTATAGGGTGAGGGGCCATCCATGTGTGTCCCTGCTTTACTACGGCTTTCAGCACACTGAGGGGGTGGGGGGTGGGGGTTTGCAGGGATGTGGGGCAAGATAGGCTCAAAGGGGTGCCCAGGGCTGTGCAGAGTGTCAGGACAGAGCTGGCACTGGTTACCAGGTCCCCGGATGCACTTGCTTGTCAGAGTTCCTAGGTGATATCTCTCCCCATGAAAAGGATGCAGGAAGACGTGTGGTAGGGGGACTCTCATCTGTGACCTTGACCTCATTCCCCAGGGCACAGGGGATTGTGCCACCGGAGCAGGGGAGGCAGAAGCTCCCAAGTGGGGCCTGGTCCCCATGGAAGAGAATTCCATCTACTCCTCCTTGCTGGAAGGTGAGTCAGGGAGGTGCAGGGCAAGCCTCAGTGCCACCACACCCAGGGCTGGGACCTCTGGGAGACCATGGCTGCTCCCTCTGCTTGCAGTGGACAAGTTTCCAGTGGTGGTGCAGAGGACAGAGGCAGCTACCCGCTGTCAGCTGAAGGGGTCCTATGTCCTGCTGCTGAGACAAGATGCCATCCAGCTGAGTGAACCCGCCAGCCCGCAGGCCCTCTACACCTGGCCCTACCACTTCCTGCGCAAGTTTGGTTCTGACAAGGTGAGGTACTGGGTCTGCCTTAGGGGCACGAGAGGACGCTGGGAAGCAGGGGACCCCTTGGCCGCTAACTCGCCCGTGTCACCCATGACCAGGATGTGTTCTCCTTCGAAGCTGGTCGCCGCTGTGACTCAGGCGAGGGCCTCTTTGCCTTCAGCAGCCCCCGAGCTCGAGACCTGTGTGGGATTGTGGCTGCCGCCATTGCTCGACGGAGGGGGCAGCTGCCTGAGCTGGTGGGGCCCCGGCCCTGCCCTCTGCCTCGGGCCACCTCCCTACCCTCACTGGACCCCCCTGGGGAGCTGCGGGAGTTGCCCCCGGGGCCTGAGCCTTCCAGCTCCCGTCGGGCACGCCTGGCTGAGCCTGGGCCACAGAGCTTGCCCCCGCTGCCTGTGGAGGCTGGGCTGTATGCTGCTGTGTGCAAGCGGGCCAGTGGACCCCTTGTCCCCGCAGAGCACCTCTATGAGAATCTGTGTGCGCTGGAAGCTGGCCCTGTACCGCCCGACTTGGGGGACTCTGCGAAGGAGGGCCCCAGTGCCTGCAGTCCCCCAGATAGTCCCATCTACCACAACAGCGAGGACCTGGGCTGGCCCAGCCCAGCCCATGACAGCAGCCTGGAAGCGCAGTACAGGCGGCTGCTGGAGCCGGATCTTGGTGACAATGGTGATGAGGCCGGGGTTTCCGGCCGCCATGGTACTCAAGCAGGCTTCAAGGCCAAGCTGGTGACACTGCTGAGCCGAGAGCGGAGGAAGGGCCCAGCCCCCTGTGACCGGCCCTGAGCACCCACAGCTGTGGCCTGGCAGGGGACAAGGGAGCGAGCAAACAATGGACATCTGGGACACGGCCCTGCGTCCACTCTGGCCTCAGGGACAAGACAGGTGTTGTGAGGAGGCCTCCCAGAGCCCTGCCAGCCCCCAGTGTACAGTGTACAGGTCTACTGAGAATAAAGCCTCTGGCTCCCCACCTGGTCTGCACACAGACCCTGCCTCACATGTGTTGCAGCAAACACCAGTGCCCTCTGTTGGGTTCTGGGGACATGGGTGACCTGGACCTGACCTCTGCTCCCAGTGGTCTCAGGTCCACTCCGGCAGGTGGGCAGGACGCAGACAACCAGGTCACCAGCAGAGTCAGACAGCTGGGCAGAGAAGGAGGGAGGCGCCCTCTTCATGGATTGTGAAGGGCAGGCAGGCCTGTACCAGGCGGGCAGTGAGCCCTGGGGCTTCCAGGCCCAGGGTGGGCATACTGGGCACAGGGGAGAGGGGAAGAGTGTGGACACAAGAAGGGCTGAGGGGAGTTAGTGGCTGAGCATGAGAAGCCTGAATGGTCTGCAACCGTCTTGGTCTCATCCTCAGCGGAGGGACGTTCCGAGCCTGGAAGGAACAGTGTGGAGACCAAATTTGAGGGAGCCCAGCTGGAGACTGGGAGGTCTGAGCTGAGGAGGAGGTGATGGGGTGGGGAGAAGGTGCAAGGGGAGGCTGGAGGAGTGGGTGGAAGGGACTTAATGTGTGTGCACACCCAAAAACCCTGCTTCTGCTGAGATGCACAAGTGCGTAGACAGTCTGGGGAAGCCTGGCCTCAGTTTCCTCAACTGTGTAATGTCAGATTACACAGTAGGTGTGCATTCTTTCATTCTTTTCTGCGTGTTTTACCACGTGCCTACTGTATGCCAGGCACTGGTGACATTGCTGTGTCCCAGGAGCCCCGACCCAGAGGAAGGTAAGCACGTCTCATGAAGACTGTAGTACCTTCCTTACCATGCCCCCGCCCCATGCTACTTCCTGTCACCACTCCTGGGGCCTCCAAGCACACGAGAAGCATGCCCTGAAGAACTGGCCTTCTGGCCCCTGACCACAACTCTGCCTCAGCTTCCCACACCCTTGGCACATCCTGAACTTTGTCTTCATGACAGTGATGCTCCAATCGTCACTTCAGAGTGACACAACCCTATTTCCACGCATCTGCCTCTGGCCACCTCCTTCCCTCCTTCTGGCCCACTTCCTCTAGTGTGGCAATACACCTCCTCCCCAGCTGCCCAGAACAGGAGTGACCCTTCTGTGTCACTCTCTGCATGGCTGCTGTCCACTCTTCTGTCCTTGTCCCAGTTAGAATCTGTGCTCCATTCTCTTGCACTCCTCTCTTTTTCCATCTTACTTGTCCATCAAAGCCTCGGGCCTTGGGTGGACCCAACTCTCCTCTGCGCCTGGCAGCTTCCCACAGCCAGAGAAATTCTGTAACCAGGCCAATTGTGCTGTTTCTACCAGGGTGATCTCGAGCCTCACACAGGCAGGCTCTCCATGCTGCCCGGAGAGCTTGCATCCCGGGGTGGCTGGCTTGTCCTCGCTGAGACCTTCACACCGTCTCCCCCTCACTCCCTGCCCATTCTTACCTTGCAGATACCCAGCAGAAGTGAGCACCCTCCACACACCTAAGCCAATATAACATTGAATGTCAACTATAATTGAATTATAAAAAAATAATTTTAAAAAGTATTTAGCCCTGGCTGGTGTGGCTCCGTGGACTGAGTGCTGGCCTGTGAATCAAAGGGTCACAGGTTTGATTCCTAGTCAGGGCACATGCCTGGGTTGCAGGCCAGGTCCCCAGTAGGGGGCACTTGAGAGGCAACCACACATTGGTGTTTCTTTCTCTTTCCCTTTCCCTTTCTCTAAAAATAAACAAATAAAATATATTTTTAAAGAGGTGTCTATTTAGCCTTGACTGGTGTGGTTCAGTGGATTGAGTGCTGGCCTGCAAACGGAAAGGTTGCTGGTTCAATTCCCACTCAGGGCACTTGCCTTGGTTGCGGGACCAGGTCCCAGGTTGGGGGTGTGCAGAGACAACTGGTTGATGTTTCTCTCTCTTTCTCCCTCCCTTCCCTTCTCTCTAAAAAAAGAAAAGAGGTGAACACTCTCCACCTCACCTACAAGTGCACCAGCATCTGCATCTGCTCCTTCCTGACCTACTTCCTATTCCCAAGACGTGTGCTCTGGTCCCGGCTCCTCTCACCTCACAGTTCGCCAAAGAGTTCAGAGCTGTCTCTTCTCTCTTCAACACATTAACTCCATCGTTTCCATCATTGTCATTTCCAGCCACACATCTGTAAAAGAAACCTGTCCTTGACTTCAAATTCTCCTGCAGCACCTCCCCACTTTTCTCTTCCTCTTCTCAAAAAAAAAAAAAGTCTTCAAAAGAATTGATTTCCTCTCATTTCTACTCTCTCACTCCCATTCTCTTTTCCACCAGCTCCAGCCTCCCAGTGGTGTTGACCATTCCATTCCATTGCTTTTATTGGGGTCACGAACCTCCATGTTCCCCTCCACAAAAGCAACCTGGACTCTCTTTGTGACTTGGACTCTCCCAGCTTCTCAGCTGTCCTTGACACCCCCCCTAGACATGCCATCCTCCTCTGCCCAAGTTCTGCCTGGGGCTCTGGCCTCTGATATGGTGTAGCTCCACCCTGGCTGCACGTGGAGTCCCCTGTGAGTATTTGAAAAATGCCCATGCTGGGGCCCACACCCAGGAGCTGGGGCTTCAGTCTGGCAGGCCATTTCCTCAGTTCCCCAGGCGATTGCAGTGTGTGTCCAGGGTTGAGAAACCTCGGCCCTAAGTGAGCCAATCCTATCTCTGCATTTCACAGAGCAAAGGCACATCCTCACCACCAATCTCTCCCAGGAGCTCCAGATTTAGGAGTGCAACTGGGTGCTAGCCTCTGGGTGTCTAAAATGCATCTCCAAATGTCATGTACGAAGGGAGGTTGAGGGATAGGTGCTCTGTGCAGTGTTGTCCCAGGGTGTCTATGGCTGCAGGGGACAGCCCTAAAGGACACTGAAGCTGTGGCTGGGGTCTAGGGCAGATTTCAGCCCCACTTGTGGATGCGCCTTCTGATAATAACGTGTTCTCCTGAGCAATCAGGCTGCCTGCTATAGAGCACACTGAAGGGAGGCTCCCATTAAGGGTGGCTGCAGTGAGCCCTGGCTGGTGTGGCTCAGCGGATTGAGCGCCAGCCTGGGAATCAAAGTGTCATTGGTTTGATTCCCAGTCAGGGCACATGCCTGGGTTGTGCGCCAGGTCCCCTGTAAGGGGTGTGTGAGAGGCAAGCACACATTGATGTTTCTTTCCCTCTCTCCCTCCCTCCCCCTCTCTCTAAAAATAAATAATTAAAATCTTTAAAAAAATTTTTTAAAGGTGGCTGCAGCGGGACCCCTCCTCTCCACAGTGCAAGCCAGGCCTTGCCAGCTGAGCAAACCCCAGCTCACACTGCAGGGTACCCACAGAGTCAGGGACATGGCTAGAACTAGAACCCGGGACTCTGGGTATCCTGCCCAGCATGCTTTCCTTTAGTAAAAATCTAAGCCTCTTTGTTTCATGGCAGTTGTTCTGAGGTTCCAACCAGGCTGGAAGTCTGGAAACCCCCAGGACTTTGGGAGCCTTGCCCTGGAGCTGCAAGTGTCCTGGCCACCAGGGGGCACTGTGTCCCAGCCCAGGGCCTGTTTCTGCCCAGGGGCTGCCTGTGCTGGGAGCTCTGGTGGCTTCCTATAGGACTGAGCCTTGTGCAACAGGCCCAAGGAACTGACTGCTGGAGTCCTCTCTGCTGGGGGATTGCCAGGACCCCTAGGCTGCCCTTCCTTTCTTTGTTCATTTGCTGTTTCACTTTCTCAACTCTTCCTTCATCCACATTGTGGGGGATGGTAGATAAGACAAAGGAGCCCCTGCTCTCCTGGGACTGGCATTCCAATGGGGACAAAGGGCAAGGAAGAAACCAACACTTAATATAATGTTGGATGGAAGTGAGTGCCATGGAAGAAAATAAAGCAGGACGAGGACTAGTGCATGATGCAGGTGAGGTTTGGGGGCCACTGTTTTAGACAACCTGATGAGGGAAGGCCCCTCTGAGGCAACCTCTGAGCAGAGAGAGATCTGAGCACAGTGAGAGAGCCTGTTGTTGAGATATCTGGGGGGAAACGCTTCAAGCGGAAGGTCCTGAGGCAGTGATGTGCTTGACGCATTTGAGGAACAGAGTGGCTGGAGTGGAGTGAGCGAGGAGGAGAGTTGTGGGAGGTTGGACCAGTTTATTAATGTCCTGCACATCTTCAGGGTTCTAGTCTTATTTTAGGTGCAACATTTTAGGAACACCAAAAGCTAAGAGTGATGTGGTATGACTTCTGCTTTAAAAATACCACTTTGTCTGCTGTGAGGAGAACACTTTGGAGCGGACCGGGGTAGCAGCAGAGAGAGGTGTAAGGAGACTATTAAGGTTTCCAGGTCCAAGATGATGACGGCAACACCAGTGGCAGTGGTGGTCAGAGGTGGGACATATCCTGAAGGTGGCCTTTGCAGAATCTGGGACAGGGAGGATAACTTCATAGTTTTTACTGGGCCAGGATGACGAATGGTGGTGCCATTTACTGAGGTGAGGGAGGAGTGAGGGAGGTGAGAAAATCACAAGTTTAAATTGGGACATGATGACTTGAGGTGTCCAGTAGACATCCATGTACAGATTAGACAGGTGGTTGGATGTTAGAATCTGGAGTTCTTGAGGGGGAGGTCATAGCTGGACGTATAATTTGTGAGTCCTTGGCCTGTAGGCGTGATTGAAAGCCACAGGGCAGGACAGGGTCTCAGAGAGTGAGTGGAGAGCAGAAACCTGATGGCCAGGTTGGGAGGCAGGTGAGGAGCCTCCAAAGAAGGCGGAGAAGGAGCAGCAGTGAGGCAGGAGGAGGCACGAAGGTGGGGGAAGCGGGCATGCACTTGCCGTGCTCCCAGATGGGGTCGGAGGAAAGTGGAGAGAGCACTACGGATTTGATAACCCAGAGGTGATCTGAGAAGCTGAGAAGAGGGAATTTATTCAAAGGACTGGGGAACGACAGCCTGACTGGAGGGGGTTCAAGAAAGAATGGGGGAAAGCAAGTCCAGACAGGACCACAGATAACTCCTTCGAGGAATTTCACTCTCCAGGGGAGCTGAATAAAAGAGCTGG